CTTCCAAATGATTAATCAGTTAATTAATTAATGAACCAATGGTTTCAGCTGTACTTGTGTAAACTGTTTAATTTATAACAAAACATCACATTTCATGCAAACATTTTATTTGTAATAGTAGGGATGTCTTACTAAAATGTTTACTATATCCTGACAGTAGTACATGAGAAAGAGTCTCATTCCCAGGGCGTCAAATACAGACGCTTTGGAATCCTGGGAATGAGACTTACCTTACCTTACCTATGGCAGCAGTTTTGGGCCCTAACCCGGAGGGTCGTGTCGGGTCCCATCAGATTGGGGCAGAGAATCGAAGCTCTACACAAACTGCATTGGTGTTAATGGTTTTGATAGTTATTATCACAATAACCTCTTTATCACAGGACACGCCTCCCACCAAGTGTTGAGGCGGTACGTGTGATTTAAAGTGAGATCCTATTGGATAAATGGTTGCAATGTCCAGCCCCTGCCACCCCACCTCTGAGAGGACTATAGGGGTACTACTAGTGTCTCCCCAGCTTTGCCATGTACAAATGATCTGCCTGCTGAAACCTTCAACTATAAAACTATTTCCACCTCCAAGGTAGTTTGTACGTCTGTGTTTTCTTTAGCGTGTGAATCAGAGCAGCAGGTAACAACAACAGCAAAGATCTCCCATTCAGATTCAGTTTGAGGAGTGCTGTGGAAGTGTATGTTTAACCTCCGAGCTCTGCGTTGATGTCAGCAGGACTGATTGGCTGGATGAGAGGGCTCTGATTGGGGACAACTCTCACTAACTAGCCGCTAATTTTAAAGTCTTGATTAGCTGCAGCGTGAACTGGGAGTGAAGGGCAAACCGACCTGTATTCGACGACACGGTTGAACTTGAAATGAGCTGCCACATACCACATGTGTGTGTTTGAGCAGTCGGAAGCAGACTGGATGTGTTCCATTATCTTTTTCTCTTTGATAAATAGGGATTAGCATTTTGCATGAAGCTGCGTCTGAATGAAGAGACAGTAGCATTGCTAAGACGGCTCGAAAACAGAGGATTACAAGAGGCTTTTTGCTTCGTAATTTGATTTTAAAAGAGTCTTACCTTTGTTCTGTGTGCCCAGTTAGGATGTGCTGGGAGGTTGAGATTAGCACAGAGAATCGAGTTTGTGACAAAGCCGATTAGCAGCTGAAACGGGGCCAACAATGCTTTTCTTGTTCCAGAATCTGCATTTTAGAGTAACATTTCTCCTGTCACGCAATCGAATGTTTCTATTTCCTGTTCCAATTTTATGCCAAAGTGTGAATGTATAGTATTGTGTTTTACTATAATGCACTGCAGCTGTGTTACTGTAGCACTTAGACTGGACAGGTAGAGCTTTAGACAGGGCTTAATAGGAGACAAACCAGTTATTTCACCCATTTACACATTTCACAAAAAACAGTGAGGACATTTTAGTTTCATCAGAAGGAATTCTGCTTCAGTTCAGCTGTGCAGTGGTTATCTACTGCCATCTGCTGGATGATAACGCCCCTACATGTCAGATGATTACCAGTCCATACCTTCACTGCAGGGCATATCTGCAAGTTTTATAAAGAAACATATTTTCGTTCTTATTTTTATTTAGCTGCCTACAATGAAATGCTTGAAACAAGCTGTATGAAAAGAGCTGTTAAAAACAGAAGTTATAAATAGTAAATGGTAAATGGACCTGTACTTGTATAGCACCTTTCTAGTCTTCCAACCACTCAAAGCGCTTTTACACTACATGCCACATTCACCCTTTCACACACATTCACTCAGTGATGGCAAAGGCCTTCCTACTCATTCACACACCGATGCACAGCATTGGGAGCAATTCGGGGTTCAGTATCTTGCTCGAACCAACAACCTTCCAATTAGTGGATGACCCGCTCTTCCTCTGAGCCACAGCCAAAATGGCCAGAGAAAGAGAAAATGTTGTAGATTGTACCACAAAGATTGTTTAGTCAGGACCACTTTTGTCAAAATAGCTTTTATTCCAACGTAGAATATTACATTTGGCGGTATGGCTCTGTTCTGGGACCTCCTTGTCCTTCCACGTGCCCATGTGGAAAACCTTAAGGAAGGGAGAGCACACCTCCCTGCCCTTCCATGTGCATACATGGAAAAGTTAAAGACAAGGAGAGCGGCAGCAGAGACCCCCCGGGGTACAGAACAGAGCAAGCATCAATGGCAATCAGAAAATGACACTGATCAATTACATAAAACATAAAAAGGAGGAGCTGGGGTGGAGGTGGGTTGAAAACGGCTTGTAGAGGAAGCAGCAAAGATAGGCAGGCTAAAGCAGCTTAAATAAGGCGCCATGAATGATATTTGCCAATTGGATGCTTGAAGGAATCAGCTGAGCTGTCAGCTGACTGTGTATGGTTTCCAACAGGAAGCTTAGGAGGAATCAGCTGAGCCATCAGCTGATATGTGTTTACGACTAGCTGTGATCATATGATGTAGCTGGAATTGAGAGCTGAGCCTGACTTCGTGGCCTGCCTGAACTAACGCTATGCTCAATTTCTGTAAAAGGAAAATTAACAATAACATAATAACCTCAGTACACACATTCTCTACTCAAGCAGAAGTACAGATACTTGTGTAGAAAAGACACCAGTAAAAATAGAAGTACTGATTTTTTACTCAAGTAAAAGCAGAACAGTACAGGCTTTGAAATGTACTCAAGTACATTTATAAAAGTAAAAAGTACTAAGTAAATGGTTAGGACATTTCTACTGGCTGTTTTTGTGCTCATTTATGGCAGCTATAGGCTATTCTTGAAGCCAGGTGAGGTCATAGAATGCCTAAAAATCTGTACAATGCTTGGGAAAAACATGATAGTGAAACCTAAAGGGTTCAGGGCTTTTGAGTCTGTTTCGTCTCATTACATCGTTACGTCTTTACATTGCTTTCTTATGTTATGTCTACCATGCATTAATATGACTTGATGTAGGGAAGATATGGTGCAAAAGATAATAATTGCCCTCAAATGCATTAGAACTGAAGTAACAAGCCTGTTTTGAAAATGTAAGGAGTAGAAATAACAAATAGTTGTGTAAAAATGTGGGGGGTAAAATAAAAAAAATTGGATACTCAAACATTAAATACCCCGGCAGTTGCTGTTGTGTGTATTTGATAGCCTCTTGTATAATATTATAAGTAACTGAAGAACTGTGGCTTTAAGGAAAATTAAACAGATGATACATTCAGAAGTAACATGTAAACGCCTCAGTATGCTTCAAATAAACCAGGTTATACAACATTGTCTGCAAATGCTTGGGACGAACTTGAAGACAAGCTGAAATCTATAAAACCGGACAATCATACAAAAAGACAGTCAGGAAGGAGCATAAAGGTTATTACAGAGTAACTATACCATAGTTATACAACACACTAAATGACTGCTCAGTAACCACTGAAGATCTGCCAAGGCTGAGTCCTTACTGCAGCATCCATGGATTCAAGTCCAACCTGTGGCCCTTTGCTGCATTTTATCGTCTCTCTCTGCCCCCCTCTTTCCTGTCAATCTTCAGTTGCCACTTTCGAATAAAGGAAAGAAAAGCCACCAAAATATACATAAAAAATGTGTTATATAATAAAGTAAGACTACCTTTAATGCATCTTGTTTACAAAAACGTTACCATTTAAACTGAATTTACTCAGTTTTCTTCCACTAAAGCATAGTATTAGATTATCTGTCAAAACAGCTGACGATACAAAAACCTACTCACAATCCATTTTCAAAATGGTAGCCAATTCTGGGGCTTGCATTTTTTGGTAAAGGTATAAAGTCAACTTAAAGAAAATGAGTTAATGGAACAAACTGGAATATCACTATGGCACAAATTTAAGTTCACTCAAAACAACTGAGTTATTAGTTTAACAATTCCTTTCCAAGTTGGCTTTAATTCATGGGAATGATTGACTGAAAATGTTTTGGAAGTTATGTTAGCTTACTTCTTTTATTAAGATATTTGGTCAGGATTTACAGTGACATGCATTGCCGTCGTCATCATCTTCTTCATGTTCATCATCATCAGTCACTACTATTAATTCAATTCAATTCAATTTTATTTGTATAGCGCCAATTCATAACAGAAGTTATCTCAGGACACTTTTTAAATAGAGCAGGTCTAGATCGAACTCCTTATAACATTTATATTAGTGTAGTTGTTGCTACTGTTGTTGCTGTGCAACTGTCTGTCTGTCCCCCTCTCTCTCACCCTAACTGGTCGAGACAGACGACCACCCACCTAGAGCCGAAGGATCTGTCCTAGGTTTCTGCCTTTTAACAGGCAGTTTTTCCTTGCCCCCATCGCCAAGGTCTTGCTCATGGTGGTACTGTTGGGTCTCTGTAATTAATGTTATAAAGAGTTCGGTCTAGACCTGCTCTATTTGAAAAGTGTCCTGAGATAACTTCTGTTATAATTGGCGCTATACAAATAAAACTGAATTGAATTGAAATGTCTTGTATTTCATACATTGTCCCACAACTCATATTTGGCATTTTAGGAAACTTTAAAATCTTCTCTTGGATAATAATGAAATTCTGTGGTGGTAGACCAGCTTGTATTTTTAAAAAATGACATGCTGTACTCTACTAGAAGTGCCAGGTTAGGTGTGATTGGCCAGAATGGATTTTAGTAATTTAGCAGTTGCAGACTGTCACCAGTGGAGGGCACACTCCACTCAACCAGACAAAATAATTATTCTGATTTCAGATCAGCCCTAATCCTGAGCTCCCAGTGTTCCAGAGGGGTTCCTTTTGGTTCTTCTAATATCTTTATTTAAATGAGACCAAGATCTCTATGTTAAAAATAGTCAGCCACATACAGCCTTGTATAGACAATAAATCTGAATGTGGTGTCTGGTCCATGAGTATGTCTGTACAATTGAAGCTGAGTCTCATATGGTACAGCAGCTGTTAATATGTAGGTATTTCTATGGTACCAGTAATAATGCTGACAGACTATCCCTTCACTGACAAACACACACTAAAAAGTGGACAAAACAACCAATAGTTTTTTTTATTGCCATTGTGCATGAACTTTGACACTGCAGGTTACACAAGGAGTATCATGTAGTGAGTTGATGAACACTCTGACCTGCCAGTGATGTGCTCTGGTCACTCTCAGTGCTGGTTTTGTATCAGTTGATGGCTTTAGCAACAAACTGCTTGCTGATCCAGCCCCCATGCTCAAAACCAAAGTAATGCAAGATGAGATGCTTGTGTCAAAGAACGGACAACACCTTTTTTTTTTCTATTATTGCACACAACTAGTTTACCAATGCCAAAGTATATGTGGGACATTGGGAAAGCCATAGCTCTTGGTAAGGTGCTGAAATGTCTTAAGAAACCACAACATTGCATTGAGCCTCTTTAAAAGCCACGTATATACAAAATATGAATGGAGCGTCAATGCAGGAATTCCACAAGCACACCAGATATCAAAACAAATGTGGGTTATATTTCACTCTTGCAAATGAAAGTTGTGGATCATTTACACTTGGGCAGGGTGATGCTCATTTAATAGCCTAGAAAGGATGGTGTTTCGCACAGAATACATGAGATGTTCAGAAGGTTTTGTTGCTTGGTGGTAGCATCAGGGTGCCTACAACACTCAGTAATAACAGACAGACAGTGAGAGGGAGGCAGGCCAGTGTGATCCTTTTATCTGTGCATCAAACAGATGAAGGCGCTACTGCAACCAAACAACTCTTAGTACTGTAGCTAGTCTCTTACAGCGATCAAATCAAAAGGCTAAGAGATATTTTTAGGAATGAATCTTGTGAGTCTATTTATGTCGTGGATTCTAAAACCTAATGGAATGCATTTAATGGAATAGCAATTATCTGGATTATCAGAACAGTCTAAGTTTAGATATGCAGGTTGGAGGTAAGAGTTCTACAAACATTCATCTTGTATGGCTAGGCCTTTATTTTTAGCTTGTGCAAACCATGTGGTTACATCCGCTGTTGCCTATGGCTGGGTACCGAACGATACTTCCCTGGTGCTGAATTAAAGGTCCTACTGTGTAATGCTCTTCACCTTTTGTGATTTATAAGTGTATTAATTGATTTTTGGCATCTTGCAGCAGCACAAGCTGAAAACGTTAAAGCTGCAGTAGGTAATTTAAAATCGGATTTAATCTTTCACTATATCCTGACAGTAGTACATGAGACAGATAATCTGTGAAAACTAAATCAGGTTCCTCTCCACTGGGCCTGAACAAACACAACCAATCAGACACAAGAAAGGTAGTTGATTGGTTGGTGAGTCTCATTCCCAAGCTGGCACATATCGATGCTGGGAATGAGACTAAACAATCAACTATCTTCAAGCTTCCAACCCAAAGTGTCCTCCTAGGTTTCTCAGATCCGATTGGTTGTTTTCGTTCAGGCCCGGTGGATTCTTGTAAATGCCATCAGGAGCACTAGGAGGAGCCAGAGGAACCTGATTTTTTAATTTTATCTGTCTCATGTACTACTGTCAGAACACATTGAAAATATCAGAAATAATAACAAAAAATTATTTAAAAAAATCCAACTGCAGCTTTAACATATTATTTACCTTACTAAAGTTGTTACTGCTAACTTGTAACATATTTACAAATACAGCAGACACAGAGCAAAGTTAGCATTCATTCATCAGTTGTTTGTCCAATATTCACTTTCCCTTTCGCTCTGGTTTGGTCTCCACCAACTTTTTTTTAGCTACTAAACATTCCACTTTCTTTGTCCGCTAGCCGTTAAATTAGTCTGTATACTGGTTGCTGGAGGGTTGTGCCTTTTGTTAAAATGCAATCTGTTGCCCTGTTGTCCTCAGTAAACTGGCTATTGCTGTTCTCTTCAGTAACGGAAAACAGGCAACCGGCGAGTTGTGCTGAACAGATAATCATGACAACAAACCATGTGTAAAGTAATGTGAGGGAAGATTTGGGGATTTACACTGTAGACGGGGAAAGAATGAATGACAGTAGGGTCGTTTGCCTTTCCTTAGCATTTTTTTTAAAGAAATTTTTTAAGTGGGAAATGTCCCTCTTGTCATACTCTTTAGGGATGCATGATAATTATCATGACAGATAAATTATTGGCTGATAAGGCAAAATTTACATTATAAATTATCAGGTTAATTCAATCAGTTGATAAATTATCGGTTTATTTCGATTTGGTATGCAAAATTATTGATAGGCTTTATATTATGAAAGCCAAAGTATGTTTTTTTTAAGTTTTTAATGAACTTCACTAGAAAAAAATAAATGAGCTCTGATCCAACTAAAGGTTATGATTTTTTTTTACGTTACTGGTTTGGCAATGAGAAGGTAATTAAGGAATTATGTATTATTATTATTATTATATTAATCATATCGGCAGAAAAAAATCCATATCGTACATTCCTAATACTCTTGATCAGAATTCTTCCATAATCCAATTTAAAGGGATTCCTGTCCATAATGTTTGTGTTTGTGCTAAAAACTGATCATCAGCCAATATATATGCTTTTGTTTTCCAGCTCACAAATATAGCTAAATATGGATGGTGGGAAATAAAGTATCGCTCAGGCTCTAGTCTGGATCAGGTAAAGCTGCACAGTAAAACTGCTTCTTTGGCTAAGAAAACTGAGGTTTAACTTATCAAATAAGATCATTTCTAGCTCAGAAAAATGTTTGCGCAACTACAGCTCCAACCTGCACCCATTCAGAACCAAATACTTCAGTTTGATTGTATCTTCACGTAGCGGTTCTGCAGTCCACTTGTGGTCCGCTGTCAACAGGCTCAGGAGAGCCAATCACAAATTGTCTTCAGGCTTAAATAAGGGACGACCACTGAATGTCGTCCAAGTCTCTGTCTGGCATTCTTCCATCAACACACACATTAATTGCCATTAATGCCATCGGTCACAGTGTGTGTGGTCCGTACAGTATTCCACCAGCAGTCAGAGAAGGCAACCACGAGGGGATGCCTGCTATTTCCACCCTTTACCCTCTGCAGCTAGCTATCGTCTGAGTCTAGTCTCAGACCGGACTCTGGAACAGAAAGGAATGATTCGCTTGGGAATGAGAAAAAAAAAACTGGAATAACTGACAGTGAATCTGTTCTGCTTTGTCAAGCTGCAGATATTTGTATGGACATACATTCCAATTACCTGAGTATAGACTCTGATTGTGAAATACCTGAAGCGAGGCCAGATGCAGACACTGTGCAACCAATTTGAGGCCATTTTTTTTTTCTCTTTGCCGAATTGTTCTCTCATTGCATTTGTTTTTTAGAGAGGGTTTAACAATGTGACCTGGATAGTGTAAACATAATCCTGAATAGTACAGCTGTTTTTCCTGTCCAGTACATAACACAGCAATACACAGTTTGGGATTTTTTTTTTTTTTTTTTTTAACACAAGCATTTTTCTTTTTCATAGAGATATATGTGTATATATATATATGTTTAGAGAGCTTATTCATACTGTGAATGTTGAAACAGAACACAACACATAATTTAATCAGAAATATACTACCAGTTTAAAATGCATGCCCCTCCCCCCATCCTTCCCTCCAATGCCTGCATATGATAACCTTTAACCATCAGGTCCTTCCCTGCCAACAACAGCTCAGACATTACGCAGGACAGAACATTAAGGTGGCGAGTCTTTGTGGTGGCGGTGGTGGTTATTCGGGACATTGTTGCTACGTCATGCAGAAATAGGGTGGGGTGGAGGGGGTCAGCACAGAGAGACGGAGGCTCCCCTGGCAGAGCAGAGGGAGGTGTTGGTGGGACAGTCAGTGGTGATGGTCGGTGGTCGCTAGCGTGGAATCCGGAGCCAGAGGCCAGCTCTGCTCAGGTCTAGCTGATGGCGGGGCTGTCTGTCTGGGGGTCTGCAGTCTCTGAGGGTGAGTCAGGCTCCTCCGGGGGGTCTTCTGTGCTGGTGCTCGTGGAGACCTGAGTGGGGGCGCCATAGAGTGATGTGGCCCCCTGGGGCTCTGAGACGGAGCCCACCTCTGCGATATCCTCATCCTCCTCAGGCTCCAAGGCCGGGGTGAGGTGCAGGGAGCCGGGGAGTTTGACAGGGCAGAAGGCCGAGCCCGTCGGGATGAAGTTGACCTTGTTTTTGTCGGGGCAGGAGAAGAGGGGGACCGACGCCGACGTGGACTGCCTGGAGCTGCAAAGAAACATACATCAGTGTCAGTAAAAGTCACACATTCCTGAGGTGCTTCACTTTAACAGTCTATACCTCATCTCCTCAAAAGCTTTAATCTTCTCACAGCCCTCTGGCGGCTCTCGCTTGAACATGTAACTGTTGTTGGGTTTGGGCGAGGAGGCAAACTTGGGCAGGGGTGAGCTGCTTCCGCTGTCTGTGAACACAGAGATATAGGGTAAGATACAGGCTTAATAAACACCGGTTTTCGTTAAGCGTTTCTGGAGCATTTGTCTACCACTACCACTACCACTTGTAGACATCTCTGAGTAGATGCACTGTTACAATCCACGCTGATCAGGGACAGACTAATATATTTATATAAGCCCCTAAATTTGGTGGCTAAAGTACATTTGTGGTGGCGCAAATGTAAACTTCAGTAAAAACAACAGGATATATGCGATATAAATCTCAATATATATAAAGTCATGGAAAAAATCATTAGACCACCCTTGTTTTCTTCAATTTCTTGTTCATTTTAATGCCCGGTACCACTAAAGGTATATTAAAATGCAGCTGATTCCATAATACTTTATGTCCTATTTGTCCTATTTGCTTAATTGTATTCCCAGGGTATATAAGAGGCCATTTCATGTCATAAGCAGCACTGCACATGTAAAGGCCTAGAGTTTCCTGCTTACATTCAAGCCGTAGCACAACTCAGAAGTTGTCAGCTCTCACATAATGCCCTAAAAAAAAGAATTATGTGAAGCCACAAAGGCAGCCATCTTGGCACTGCTGGAAAATGGCATGAGTGAGAGACAGGTAGCCAAAAAACTGAAGATCTCCAAGACAGCCGTTCATTACGCCAAGAAAAAGCAAGCTGAACATGGTACTACCAAATTGCTAGCTGGTTGAGGCAGGAAACGTCTTTCTACCCCACGAGATGACCGTGCACTCATCCGTTCTTGTGTCAGGAATCTTCGTCAGACCTCCAGGGACCTTAAAAATGAGTGGGAACTACCGAAAAATGTGACTTGTTCAGCGAGGACAGTTCGAAACCGACTTCTTGAAGCTGATCTGAAGTCACACAGGGCACGAAAGAAGCCCTTCATCAACGAAAGGCAGAGGAACACCCGGTTACCATTGCTAGGGATCACAAGGATTGGACTGTTGATGGTTGGGCTAAGGTTCTCTTCAGTGATGAATCCAATTTTGAGTTGATGCCCACTCCAGCCAACTTACTGGTTAGGAGGAAGCCTGGACAAGCCTACAAACCAGACTGTCTTGCCCCTACAGTAAAACATGGGGGTGGATCGGTGATGATCTGGGGTTGTTTCAGTATGGGTGGAACAGGGCAAATGCAATTGTGTGAAGGGCAAAGGAACCTGGTCACGTACAGGGCTATTTTCAATTCAATTAAATTTTATTTGTATAGCGCCAACAGAAGTTATCTCAGGACACTTTTCAAAGAGAGCAGGTCCAGACCAAACTCCTTATAACATTATTTACAGAGACCCAACAGTATCACCATGAGCAAGCACTTGGCGACAAGGGCAAGGAAAAACTGCCTGTTAAAAGGCAGAAACCTCTTGAAAACAGTCTTCTTCCATCACCTGATAAACTCTTACCTGCCTTGAATGACTGGATTTTCCAACAAGACAATGCCCCTTGCCACACGGCAAGGTCAGTTAAAGCCTGGATGGAGAACCAGAACATTCGAACCATGCCTTGGCCTGCTCAATCACCAGATCTAAATCCAATTGAAAACCTGTGGAACATCATCAAACTCAAAATGGAGAACCATAAGCCCAAAAACAAAGCAAATTTGTTTGAATTTTTGCAACAGGAATGGGCTGCTGTGACAGCAGAACAATGTCAGAAGCTGGTGGAGAGCATGCCAAGACGCATGGCTGCAGTCACCAAAAACAATGGTTATGCAATCAAGTACTAACTCCTGTGTGTATCATGTGACTAAAACAGAGAAAAGAAAACATGGAATGCCTAACAGAACTGTTTTTGGCAGTACAATGCCCTAGCTATTGATGTAAGAACTTAAGTGATTTTGGTTATTATCAAGGAAACCATAGAACATGGCTAGATATCAGCTCTTAAATTAAACTCTTATGAGCTAGTTTTGTTGGTATCATTATATTTGTCCAAACAAATGTACCTTTAGTTGTACCAGGCATTAAAATGAACAAGAAACTGAAGAAATATATATATTATTTTGTCTAAAACATCATACTGTAAATTCTCAAGTAGTACAAATATATGATGATCTAACAGAATATGATGCATTGCTGAAGATTAAACTACTCAACAGTAGTAGATGGTAGATAGCATAAGTTCAGACTGTAGCTGGCCACCTCGACCAGTTAGGGTTAGAGAGAGAATGGAAGAGAGAGGAGCATTAGCTAGTTAGCAGCTAGCATTACAAGTCAGGCTAAAAACAATTACAATAACCTAAACCAAAGTTTTGGATCTGTAGAGCTGGAAGCCACAGGTAGAATAAGCGATCAGACTAAGGATTGCATCTTATCTGCGAAAAGAAAATCACAATGACTCGCAGCGTTAGCTGCTAACTAGCTAGCTGTTCACAGTCTAGATGAACTCGGCTAGGAAGAGTAGAAGCTGCCCTTCAGTAACTATTACACTGAAACATGAGCTCACACTCAAACTTTGTGTCCATGTCCGTATTTGGTGGTCAGAGTAAGTTTCTGTGGCCAGGGGTCATGGGTCATGTCGAACCCCGCTGATTCCTGACATTTTTAACGTCCAGTTTTTTATTCTCTGGGTTACTTGGTGTAGAATCTCCACAGGCAGATGTTCAAATCACACAAATCTACTGTCTACATACTCAGAATGTTTTCTACAATGATGTATCAAGGCCCACAGTGTCACTATGGACATACAGAACTATGTGGAAAATATTCAATACTATTCATTGAATTGAGTACAGTTTACTACAGTTTTCCTCTAACTATAACATGAATTTGGCCAACAGTTCAATTTAAGTAGAATTAATTTTATTTTACATCAAATTCCTCTTCTCATCTATTGGCCTATTAAAAGAAGAAATAGAAAGTGTTTGTTGCACATACAGTTAACATTGCTCTGCATATATTTATAAACCCCGACAACAAGAACATTTTTCACTAGAGTTTGGTGAGAATTCTGCTTGTGGCTCCAGAAAAAATAGACGCAATGCTGTCTGGTCACATGGGCCAGGTTCAAGATCTGAGTGAAAGCAATTAAAATTTTCCAGAACAAAACATGGATTATTTACAGGATAAGGTGTAATTTTAATCCATGATTGGAAAACTAAAATGGATGGTAAATGGACCTGTACTTGTATAGCGCCTTTCTAGTCTTCCAACCATTCAAAGCACTTTTACACTACGTGCCACATTCACCCTTTCACACACATTCACTCAGTGATGGCCCATCAAACAGAAACTAATATATTCATACACATTCACAAACTTTGTGTCCAAAGGACAATTCGGGGTTCAGTATCTTGCTCAAGAATACTTCTTGAGACATGTGGTGGGAGGAACTGGGGATCGAACCAAACTGCATTTGCATCACCCAACTTATCCTTTAAATATTGAGCAATATTCTGTGCGCGTTAGCTACAATAATATGCCACAGCTAATAAAACATATATGGCAAGTGTCTTCATAGTGGGAGCACTTTTCTTTATTTAAATGAGAATCCAGAGCTTTTCAGCCCACTTTCCTAAATCTCAATGGATTGTGCCACATTGCTTCTCATAATATAAAGTCCATATTTTAAGCAGTCAAAAGAGGCATGCTAATTAAAGTTAGCGTGCCTTCAGCACTGTTGTTGGAAACATAATTCTCCTTATTCTTTTCTTGAAATGTAGCTAACAATGCAATAAAAGTAAAAATAACAAAGCCAGTGGAAATCACTGCTGTGGGACATAAAACTGGTAAAAGTAGACATACACGTACCAATTCAGTCTGCCTTGGATTTAATTTAATGCATTGGTTTCTAAAATTACAAAGTCTCCATAGATCCACCAGAAATATGTGGTTATGAGTGGACTAGTCTAACAACATGACCCCAGTGACCCCCGTGGCCAGTACTTCAACAATAATGTGATGTCTTTTACCTTTATCCCGGTCGTACAGTAGGTCCTCCGTGGAGTAAGGACTGCCGTCGTGTGATCCTGGTGGGCAGGCGGGGGATGGGCAGGGTGACAGGCTGGAGCAGCTGCTGGACCGACCGGGGGCTGAGGGAGTCTGGGTGTCCACGCTGCGGGTGCTGCTGCTGCGCTGCTGGGGAGGGAAGGGTGCCCGCCGCCCATCGGGAACCTCCAGGGACTGCAGAGTCAAAACAGGAGAAAGACAGAGGGGAAGAGAAACTAGTCAGAGCTGAAACAAGATGAGTCCAAACTTACAAGAATTAGAACCGAAATGGAACGGAGCCCCACTTTAAGCTCCTCCTTCTCTCCGTTGTCTTTGATGAAGACCTTCTCCAGCTCGTGGTTGATGCCCTCCATGCTGCTGGGCACCCTGGAGATGGAGGGCTTTGGCACTGTGATGTTGGACAGCGGCATCTGGGCCGACTTCGACATGGAAAACCGCTGCAGAACGAACACACACACAGAATTAAAGCTGCAGTTAAAAAAATTTTTTTGTCATATTTGCTGAAACTTTCACTATATCCTGACTGTAGTACATGAGACAGATAATCTGTTACGGAATCTGATTACTCTGGTTCGCTCTAGTGCTCTAAATGGCATTTGCAAAAATCCACCGGGCCTGAGCGCAAACAATCAATCAGAGATGAGAAAGATAGAAAGATGCGGTGGGTTGGAAGCTTGAATATAGTTGATTGTTGAGTCTTATTTCCAGGATCCCACAGCGTCTGGGAATGAGACTCAACTATCAACTATCAACTATCTTTCTTGGCTCTGACTGATTGTTTGCATCGAGGCCCGATGGACCTACTGCACGTTTAAGAAAAAGCATGTCTGCCTGTCCTTTTACTAACAGTTTTCAACGCCGACTTCCAGATAGTTCTTCGTGTTCATATTTTACTGTTTACTTCAGCTGTATGGAGAGGTGTAAAGTTACTGTTTTTCATCCTGTTGCTGTTATACATTAAAAGCTTTTCATCTTACAGGAAATACAATGTATTTGTCACCCAGTTAGCACAGCCTGGGACTGAGACTCAACAATCTGCTATTTTCAAGCTTCCAACCCAAAGAGTCTTTATATCTTTCTCAGCTCTGATTGGTTGTTTTACCTTGATGTGACACTGTTGTGAATTTTTCAGGCAGAGCGTTTACCTGAACGTGGCTGGTTGTCGAAGTGTGGTTGGTGGTGCTGGTGAAGGCGGTGTAGGTGATGGGGTTGTATTGGAGGGGGGACAGCCGGTCCTTGTCTTTACTGTGCCGTCCTCCTTGTTTACTGCGCTGGAGCTGCTGCCGGAGCTTCGCGATCTGCTGGAGTCAAATAGGAGAGGAGGAGAACACATAGGAGACATGAGACAGAGGAAGGACATACACATTTGACAGGCAGGCGGACCAGGAAGTTATAAAAATGAATTCATTCGTAAATTATAAATAAATAGAGCCAAGAAAGTCTCAATCCCATGGCGTCAAATACAGATGTTTTGGGACCCTTGGAATGAGACTTAACAATCAACTATCTTCAAGCTTCCAACCCAAAGCATCTTTTTATCTTTCTCTACTCTGATTGGTTGTTTTTGTTCAGGCCTGGTGGATTCTTGCAAATACCATTAGGAGCACTAGGAGGAACCAGAGGAACCAGATTGTTTCACAGATTATCTGTCTCATGTACTACTGTCAGGATATAGAGAAAGTTTCAGCTAATATGGCATATTTGGTGGAAATATGACATGACAACTGAGCAAACACCATCCGCTGATGAAAACAGTGATGTGTTAGTAAGCGGTGGTAAGATTAGTTTTATAAAAGACAAAAAAAAAACCATCCTGCCAACTGAATCTTCCGAGTCTTATCAAAAGCGACTATAATGTTGTGTGCAAGTAGATTACATACAAAGTCAATACAAAGGCCCAGATAAACAGCAATTTTGTGCGAGTTGAAAATATTGAACTTCTAAACTAAAAATCTGGGCAAGTGGGGGTTTTTGTATGGGAAGGAGCAGAGAGACAGAGCTTGGAACCCAGGGAGCTCTGCAGAAGAGAGCCAGGGGTCAGAACCGGAGCTTCTGGAGAAATAAACAGCCGTAGTCACACCAGATTCTACTCTGATCTGGAGATGTTTACTGGCAAGAGAGCTCTGGGTTTATTTTTTAAACTTTTGGGATAAAAAATGTATCTGCGCTCTCTCTAATCAACCTGCCTGCTGCGGGTCACAGAGGCGCCACCCCCACTTGTATTCATCTGTGTGCACCCAGCGCTCTGATACTACTTCATATTTATACAGAGACTAGAGAAAAGTAAAAAAGGAAAGTGGACTACCTGTTAGTATAGCCCTGATCAATCCGAACTCGGTTAAAAAAAAACCAAGCATTTTAAAAGTTGTTTGCTCGTCATCTTGTGCACAGACCCGACAAAGTATAAATTCGGACATTTTACAAATTGCCATCATGATGTTATCATCTCAGCATCATTTTGATCCGTTTATTGACATTAATTTATTTTAGGCTCATACCACTGTTGGGAGCCAGATTAAAGGGTGAATATTTTCCTCATGTTACACCCTTCAGTTACACGAGTAAATATAAATGATCCCGCGAGTGATGCAAGGCAAATACTTCCTAGCTTTTGGTGGGAACATACCATTACAGCATATCCCCTTTGTACATGCATCAGCATTGTGGTTGTCTGTCATACATTGACTGTTTATCCAGTTTGAAGTGGCGTGTGTGTGTGTATGTGTCAGACACAGTCCTGACCTCTTTACTGTAGAAACACAACACATGCAGTACTATTCAATGCAGGCTATGTGTAAAACGGCTGTTATGCGATCCCAATATTTGGGCCACTGAACCAGTTAAACAGTACAGTCCTGCAAGTTTTTGTTTGCCTCTCGTGCCATGCACTTCTCAGGTTCTGACATTTAACTGCATTGAGCGGTCAACAGTGTCTACACTGCAAAACATTTATTTCAAGAAGGTAAAAAATCCTTTTCTGGGAAATGCGTCTCATTTGCTGTCTAAAAGAAAAATAATCTTGTGTTTTGCATTAGAAACATCTGGGTCTAAGAAAATATATCTAACTAAAGTAAGATATTACAGGTAATTTTGAGCTAGATTAAGCAAGTAACAAGTTATAAAAATAGTTTGCATAATATCCCAGCAGAGGAACAACAGCATTATATTTTAAGAGTAAGACCACCGGGACAATGTCTCAGTTTAAGAGAAAGTAGTCTTGTCCCAGTGTTGTAAATGAAGCAGCTGTTTAATTTTTCATTGTTTCAATAAAAGTGATAAAAATAAGAATGCTTCTGGTGCCTTCATTTAAGACAGAGTCAAGACAAAGTTTGGAGAAAATATGAATCTTAGATTAATAAGATCATAAAATAATGTGAACAAAATACTTATTTTTTGTTATATTAAGATATGTTTATCTTAAATAACTGAGTTTTCATTGCTTGTGATAAGCACAACTTGCTAATTTTTTTTTTTTTTAACTTTTTTTTCCTAGTTTTAGTCCAAAAGTCTTTCAATGGCTGGCAAAATTGTCTTACCCCACTGGCAGTTTTTGCTCAATACAAGAAAATGTGATTATATTTAAGAATATTTGGCTTAAACGGCAGTTTTTGAAGTGTACAGTCTCAGCTAAATGTTGTCCCTTTCATAGCAATTACATATATCAGTTAAACACACAAATAAGTATCCAAAGGAATAAAATCAAACAGATGCAACTGGTGCAAAAATACAGGAAGCACAGAGCTTCTGACAAAACGAGGAATTTGAAGATTGCCTTGTTCATAAGAACTTGCGATGGGAAATTGTCAGTTTTCAAGTTACACATTAAAGCTGCAGTAGGTATCTTTTATAAAAATAACGTTTTGTCACATTTGCTGAAACTTTCACCCTCACATCAGTACATGAGACAGATAATCTGTGCAACAATCTGGTTCCTCTGGCTCCTCCTAGTGCTGGACAAAAACAACCAATCAGAGCTGAGAAACTCTGAATTTTGACTTTTATACTCAGAACTCAAATAAAATGTTCTAATGTGGCCCTAATCCTCTTCCTAAGCTGTGTTTTGTGATGGCATGTGCACCCGCTTCCTGGTTCTAGACAGGAAGTCAAAGATAATTTCCTAGTGCTTAGACTTATGGTGCTATCCATTTGTCTTGTAAATCCCCCGCCCGAGTTGCTCTGCCGCGAGAATGTGACGTCATTGCCTGGCTTGTACCACTTATAGTGTTCCATTTGTCTTTGGGCATTACGAGTCGGAAAGAACATGGACGCCACCAGTGCAGCAGCTGTCTTATTATTGCTTGTGGCTCATCTAAACAAGCTCAATGTGAAATAATAATAATGTTTTTCTACAGAAACACATTTCAAGTAATTCCGTTATTGCAAGTCTTATATTTCAATAATATTTTGCCATTTTCGCCTATTTCAATTTCAACAAGTGTTTGTCTCGAGCCACCAGCGGCCACCAGGGGCCACCAGGAGCCACCAGGAGCCACCAGGGGCCTCCAGGGACCACCAGGGGCAGTGGCAGGCTAGTGTTATTGTTAGCTACATTAGCCTATTTAGCAAACCAGCTCGAAAACAAAACTTTACATTGTATTGCACGCACAGCAACAACGTGCAATGCATAAATTGGTGACCGGACTAAAGCAGCAATGTAAACAAGTGTGTAAGAGCATTTAAAATCGACATTAAAACGACCAACTTGCGGGTCGTATGTTCGTCCTCGTTTAGCTCGATGTACTGTGAGGTACCCCGAGCTGGACGGCTGAAATTACGAACAAAAGGGGGTGTTGTCTCGGTGAAATGTCACAAGATAGCTGCGAAATTTAAACTTTCCAACTCAGGCTGGGGGTTTACGAGACAAATGGATAGCACTGTTACATCAGCATACGAGTCACTTTTTTAAAAACTATGACAAGAGCCAAGACAAGGTTTACTTTGACTAAAAAAACATAATAAATGATGAAGCAGCAGCAGCAGCGCCCCCCCGTCTCCTCTTGCTCCTTGTTGGTTATCTATTGACATCAGTAGAATGGGTGCCAGCACTGCTCCTCCTCTGCAGCCCTGTAACTCAGTAACGTGGCTGTGCACACATTAGTGAGGGCTGAGCTGTCATCTGGCCAGCCCTTATTGTTCACTCCGCTGCTGGAGTGCAGGAGGCGGAGAGGAGCCAGATTGGGCTTGGCTGACCATAAATTGCAGCGGGTTATGGCCGTTTCAAAGAGGGGAAGTGAGTAGTTAAGAGTGAGATAGCGTTATCTGCCACCTCCCTGCTGCTGCTGAGTATCAGCAGGGTGGAGCTGAGAGGGGCCGATAGTGCCGTGCTGGGTACAGCTCCTCATCATTTCACATGGAAAGCGTGTAGGTTTGATAGGTCAAAGAATTCACCATGTTTCATCATGTCATCATCAACAGTGCCACCGAGAGATGAGAACATAGGTAAGAAACAGGTATCGCTACAAATGCAGAGGCCTAGTGATTGTGTGTACACAGTGTAAGGGGAATTTCAAAGGCGTAAAAGTACAGTTGTGACCAAAATTATTAGCCCCCCCCCATATGAAATTAGACAAAACTCTTGATTTCTCCATGGAAATGGCCATTAACAACACGTGTTTGTTATTTTGGAAACAAATACACTACAAAGACAAAAGTTGTCAAGTTTGATTAGGATATTTTATTGATACAATGAGTTGAAACAAAAAAGCGCAAAATGAGAAATCCAAAATTATTAGCCCCCTGGCCATTAATAGTCAATAGTGTACCCTTTCTGAGCCACAACTGACAACAACCTCTTAGAGTAGTTCTTCACTAGGCTGGCACAGGTCTCCTGAGGGATTTCGGCCCATTCTTCCATTGCAAATTGTTCCAGCTGGTCCAAATTGTGTGGTTTCCGAGCATGGACATTCACTTTGAGCACCCGCCACAGATTCTCAATAGGATTGAGGTCTGGGCTCTGTGCGGGCCACTCCAGGACCTTGGTTTTGGTATCCTTCAGGAACTGTTGGACCAATTTCGATGTGTGCTTTGGGTCATTGTCTTGTTGGAAGGCCCAGCGACGACCTGAGGATAGACTACGAGCAGATTGTCAACATCATTTTCTTTTTTCATGATGCCATGCACCCGAACAAGGCTCCCTGTGCCTGAGGCTACAAAACAGCCCCACAGCATGATGCTCCCACCACCATGTTTAACTGTGGGAACTGTGTTCTTAGGGTTCAAGGCCTCTCCCTTTCTTCGCCAAACATAAGCAACATCCATGTGCCCAAACAATTCCAGTTTAGTCACATCAGACCAAAACACAGACTTCCAAAACTCATCGTTACCTTTCAAATGTTCATGGGCAAACCTCAGTCTGGCTTTGAAGTGCTGCTCTTTGAGTAAATGGGTTCTTCTTGGACGATGGCCCTGAAGCCCACCACGATGGAGAGCCCTCACAACTGTGCTCCTTGAAACATCAACTCCAGAAGAGGCCAGGTCAGCAACAATCATCTTGGCAGATGTCCGGGGATTCTTGCCGACATCTCTGACAATTTTCCTCTCTAGAGTTCTTGAAATCTTGAGCTTACGACCACGCCCAGGTTTGTTTCTTACAGAATTTGTCTCCTTGTACTTGCCAATGATGCAATGTACAGCGGTTCTAGACACTGTGAAACGCTTGGAAATGGCAGTATAGCCTTCCCCCTTATCATAAGCCTCCATTATCTTCTTTCTGAGCTCAAGACTGATTTCCTTTGTCTTTGGCATGGTGAGTAAAAGTAGTCCCTCTCAATAATGTGTGCAAGTGCCCTGTTCCTTGGAGTCCTTTTATGCTGATTGAATGATCAGGTGTTGTTAGGAAGCCAATTGACTGCACAGGTGTGGTTTGAAAGCTGATTGGTTAATTAGGTGTGTTTTTGAAGGCAAGAATTCACATGGGGGGAAATATTATTGACCACCCCATCATGGGGGCTAATATTTTTCACATCCCCATTTTTCTCTATATTTGATATAAAGCAACCCTAAAATGTTATTTTATATTCCAAAATGTACCAAAAGCAACCAAAAAGCACTGGTGAATGTTTGATTATATCGAGTTTTATCAATGCTACAAACATTGGGAAGAATTTTAGGAGAATGTTCCATAATTCCTGGGGGGCTAATAATTTTGGTCACAACTGTAAGGTTAGTAATAATACCTTTCAGTATGAGTAAGTAACACTTTAAAGGGTTGGGGGTTTTCAAAGTCTGAAGCTATACATTTTGAAACTACAGTTCCCATAATGCTTTAGAGGATGTAAATGGGATGTATAATGTGGCCATGGATTCAGTAGGCCTTTGTCATTCCCCAGTTTGTACATCCTCAATCCCTCTCTAGTCCCTCCCACCAGAGATGAGAGTGGAGGAGTCGAGGAGACAGGAGTTTAACAAAATGAGATGTTCTTGCTTCTTAGTCAACATAGGCACTGCATCATCTGTCCATTGTTAGAAAATACTGCTGTATTATTTCTGTCAGATGAGTGCCCATTACAATTATTATACATTTACTTTTAATTCAATTCACAACGTGGCATAATGTGACAATAATGTACAGATGTCACATTTTTTCTGTTTTGATCATGACCAGTGTAGATGCTCTTTCATTATAAATCTAAGTTTATTGCACTAATGTACCGTAATTTCCGGACTATAAGCCGCTACTTTTTCCACACGCTTTGAACCCTGCGGCTTAAACAATGATGTGGCTAATCTATAGATTTTTACGGGCTAACGTCCTCCAGGGGGCGCTCTAGCAGGAAGCGCAAGAGCGAGACAGACAGGTGGAAGAGGAAGAGGAATAATGAGAGGAAGACGCTAGTTTGATTGTGTTTTGAATTCATTCAGTTTGAATTAATTCAATTCATTCAGTCATTTTGCGCATCATGCACACACCCTCATCATGGCAAACACAAGAAGAAATGCACATGATGCAGCTTTTAAGTTAAAGGCAATCGATCTGGCTGTCGAAGAAGAGCTGCTGCACGTAAGCTTGGCATCAATGAATCAATGGTGAGACGTTGGAGACGGCAGCATTTATTTAATTAAATTTTTTTTTTTTAAATCTGTGTAAATATCTCGTTACAACGTGGACACCTGGGGCTTATAGACCAGTGCGGCCTATATATGTACAATTTTTTTTTTTTTTTTAAATTTAGTTGGTGTGGCTTATATTCAGGTGCGCTCAATAGTCTGGAAATTACGGTACATAAAAATATGAGTTTTTCCTTGTGTTCTGCACGTCCAGGGAAAATGTTACGCCAAACTCCCTCTAAGAAATAAGACATTTTAACAATACCTTACATGTCCGTAACTAATCTACAAACACATACTTAAGGGTGTGCCTTCCTGTCCATACAGCATCAATATAATCCATAAACATAAACTTTTTGTTGCCTCAACTCACTACAACCTCTGTTGTAAGTGGGAGAAGAGTGTGGGAATGTGAGGCGGGCCGTTTCATAAATTATTATTTATCACTGAAGTAAGTGCTGGTAGATGGATTAAATATGTGCCGAATTAAACCCAGACTCAAGACACTGTTAATTTACGGTCTGTGTGCGATTGGATTTGAGAATGTGGTTAGAATAGCACCTCATACGAGGCATTCCACAACCGGTGAAGGGCAGAAAGTTTAATCATCTTAATCAACCAATACAATTTATCAATTCATGCTTCTGCCATAGCAGGAAATTTCCATGGAAGCAACACAAACAAACATGAAAGACAGCGAACGTGACACAGAACGGGCACATTATGAAAAGGAGGACTCCAACCAGCCAAGACAGAAAGAGGAGCTCGTACCTAAAAAAAAAAACTACTTCTGTCTCATAGACGTAGCTGAAAATTGTTGAAAAGATTTTATGCATTCATTTTTGTATATTTTGTTACATGCTTGAATAAACATTTTCACATTGAGCAGTGTTTCCTCTATGTTGATTTTGGAGCACCGGCCGGCCGCTGTTAAATTTCTGCCGCCACGGTATCAGAAATGGGGCAGACGCACAATGTAGTCACGGTTGCCTTTTAAATTATCCTGCCGACATAATGCACCCCCGTTGGCTGCCGCTCACATTGCAATTTAACCACAAGTAGAACTATTCAGAGGTTATTGGGGCTGTCCAGTTTAACTCCACATACTGTTGTGTTGATGTAGCTTATTGTCAATGTTCGCTTTCTTCCAAGTCGACTATTAAACTAACAGCTCCACCAAAAACGTCAGCGCGGTGGGTCCGTTTTAATTGGACAACGTTTAACTTGTCAGTTCTCAGCTCAACGTCCTGATAGCAAACATCTGGAAACATTAAAACGGTAAATATATTTGTTTGTGTCGCAGCGAAGTGTCAGTTCTGTTTCATACTAAAAACGTTTGCCAGCGTGACGGGACGGGGGGTGGTGTTCGGACGGGCCTGCTCCCACTGCTAAAAGAGGAAACACTGTTGAGTATTCAAAGGTAATAATAAACAGGCCTTTCCTTATGGTAATTTTAAATATAAACCTTTTTTTTTTTTAAATTTACAAAAAATGTGCTGTATTGTGATATGTATCGTTAACTTATAGGTTATGAAATTACTAGTGGTGTCAGTTTAACGCGTTATTAACGGCGTTAACGCAAACCAATTTTAATGGCGTAAATTTTTTTATCGCAAGATTAACGCCTAGCACAATTTGTAGTTTTTTTCACATGCTGTTTCAACAATTAGTAACGTTAAAAAAACTACAACACCACACCGGATCTAGCTAGACCGGAAACAAAACAACAGGCACGCCGCACACACTTGTTTAAGAGTGGTAGACGTTACGTTTTGAGTAGATGGCGAGTGCGAGACGCCGAAATGGATGGATTCCTTGTTGTCTGAAAATGTCAACAGGCTTGTCTGTTTGAGTAACTGGCTCAAAGCAAAGAAGTAGTAGGCTTACCTTTTATTGGTAACCATTACTGTTCATTCTTTCTGAAATAAGAGGCTGGGTTGATGAGCCTCTGGTGAATAAAGAGCAGTAGTCTGACTGCTATGTTCAAAGCAAACTTGAGAAAAGTATTAAGCCATGGTTTAACTGCACTATAGGCTGAGTCCTAGTTTACCTTACATGTGCACTTTGTAATTTTATTTTGTATCGCCCTGTTTTGATCCCTTAGAAAGGGCTGTTAAAGGGGCTGTTGTGTTTTTTTTTTTTTCCACCCTTTTATTGATGGACAGTGTTACATTGTGTGAGAGATTATTTGCTCCAAGTGAGAATGTTAGTGTGAAACTGAACACTACAGTATATGCCAATGTTGTTTTCAATAAAAACAACATTTGCACAAAGCAAGCCGATCCACTTTTCCATGTTGATAAGAGCATTAAAATGAGAAAAAAATAAAGGGACAAAAAGAAATCAAGGGACATTCAGAATAGATAAAAATGTGCGATTAATTGCGAGTTAACTATGACCTTAATGCGATTAATCGGACTAGGACTAGAAATTACCTATATCGGGATATAAAATTTTGATCATATCACACAGCCCTACTGTTACCAATAGGATTTATGTGCAAAATGATATGCAAGCACACGCGGTCCATTGGTAGGAGCATATGTTTTACCTTATAGTATAATGTTTACTGGTGGTTTGTGATCATTTTCGAATTCATCAAATCAAACTTGTGATTGGCCTAGTTTGGCCTAAATGTGTTTGTATTTGCATTCATGCCTCTTTGAGCTGGTCGGCGCTGCCCCAGGATGCAGAACGCTGGTGGGTGCTCCTCTTCTCTCCTGTTTCCTCACTCCAACATCCAGGAGTCTGAAAAGAACATCACAGCTACATATTACTATCAGCACACTCAGATCTCAACTTGTTAAACTATCACTCTGCAGTAGGTAACTGCAAAAACATTTTGTCAATATTGCTGAAACTTTCACTATATCCTGACAGTAGAACATGACACAGATAATCTGTGGGGAAAAAAAAAAAGAATCCACTGGTCATGAACAAAAACAATTAATCAGAGCCAAGAAAGATAAAAAGACACTTTGGGTTGGTAGCTCGAAGATAGTTAATTATTGAGTCTTATTCCCAGAGTCCCAAAGCGCCCTCTGAATGAGACTCAACAATGAACTATCTTCGAGCCACCAACCCAAAGTGTCTTTTTATCTTTCTCGACTTTGATTGGTTGTTTTCATTCAGGCCTGTTGGATTCTTACAAATGCCATCAGGAGCCAGAGGAACCTGATTTTTTTTCACAGATTATCTGTCTTACATTTTTACAGTGTAAAATTCTCTACTGCAGCTTTAAAGGACCATTCTGGTTAACTACAATTTGAAACTTCTCTTTATAGTTATGATTACACTGTACTCACTTATAGTCTGTCAAAGAGATTACAAAAAGCTTTGATTGTTCCAGCAATGGATGATCAATGTGACAAATTCATAGAGTCAGCATGGACATACATGTATTTTCACACAAACTCCTCAGTGAAAGCTGAGCTTGGCGCTCACAGTTAGAACACTACGGTGAACTCTGTCTCTCATCCAAGCATACGCACGCACACACTCACACACACACACACACAGGGCGCAGCACAACACGCACACACACACACACACACACACACACACACACACACACACACACACACACACACACACACACACACACACACACACACACACACACACACACACACACACACACACACACACACACACACACACACACACACACACACACACACACACACACACACTCAATACAACCTCCCCGTCCAACATCCAGAGAAAACTGAACTGCTGTCTTGCTCATCTTAATGTGTCCAACTCAAAGGGCCATTTGTGTACTCTGAGCAGTGAGTCAGTCACTAAAGACTTCCCCCTTATCCGGTCTTTCACTTCTCTGCCTTGGGGAGGACAAAGCCACCCAGAGCTGACAGGACAGAGCTATGTTATTTTTCCGCTTAAATGTGAGAAAATATAGGCAAACAAGAAGTATTCCACAGGTAGCACACAGTAGGGCAGATCCACTTTAACTACAGAGCACAAAACTCACGGTTCAGATCGTATCACGGTTTGTCACGGATCAGATCAGCAAAACAACAACAAAAAACTATACATACTACATTATCATATACTATCTTTATGCTGTCACAGACACAAGAAGCTCTCCAGTACAGAGAATCCAGAGATCAGGGAAGTGGCGTCCAGGTTCGAACAGGCAGGAAATGGAGTGCAGGCAAATCACTGGAAGGGGCTGAGTCACAGCTGAGACAGAAGGCACCGATGGGGTCCGTAGCAACAGGGTGTGAGGGCATAGGCTACTTCCTGGCAACCAGGGTTGAGAGCATCCAGGGCAAAGAGCAGCAACATCTTGTTCAGGAGGAAGTACGAGCCGGCAAGGAGCATGGACTAGATAGGAAAGTGCAATGCAATGAAAGATCAGCTGACATCTGGTGAGCAGACTTCCATCGCACCAGATTTTTTGTCTAAGCTGTCAACTAGGTCCAGCAAATCTTCACATATGGGGCAAAACTGAAACCCCTTCCTGCCCTTGTTGTTCTGACAGAAACAGTATATCTAACTGTGGGCATGCGCGAAAGCTGCTTGCTGCCTGTACGGTTGCTCCAACCTTTGAGTCTGCTTTTTAACTTTCTTAACTTTTATTCTCTTTTTGTTCGTTCTTGTTTTTTCACTCTAACTCTGTGAAGTTCTGCTCTCTCTAACAAGGTTTTTTTTAGAGAGTTTTCATGTTGATTTTATCAATGCCACTTCCACCGGGACACGCTGCCTTTGTTTACTCCGGAGAAAAGCTGATCGCGCTAATGCCGGCCAGCGTAGAGGCCAGACCAGCTGATATACCACCTGAACTCTGGAGAAAAACACACCGGGGATGCAGAGGAGGGAAGCAACGTCGGGGGAATATAGGAGGGTCGAGACGGGACAGGCTTATGGAGAGGATGGACAGGTTTGATACTGCGGCCCCTCCCCCACAAGACTCTGCTGCTGGCTGCCCAACAACAACTGCCACTTTACCTCCCCCTACTCCTCCTCCTTATAGACCCCTTGTCTGCCTCTCACCACCTCAATTCAATTCAATTTTATTTGTATAGCGCCAATTCATAACAGAAGTTATCTCAGGACACAACAGTACCACCATGAGCAAGCACTTGGCGACAAGGGCAAGGAAAAACTGCCTGTTAAAAGGCAGAAACCTAGGACAGATCCTCCGGCTCTAGGTAGGTGGTCGTCTGTCTCGACCAGTTGGGTCCCCCCCTGCTCTACATCATGTCCTCCACAACCTGAGGACCTCACCCCTCCCCCAACTGTCACCTCTACAGTGTCCTTCACGCCTGACCTGGTGAGAAGACAGCTGACGAGACTCCACTCCGGCAAAGCTGCAGGCCCTGACTGTGTATTTCCCAGGGTGCTTAAAGCCTGTGCCCCCCAGCTGTGTGGAGTACTCAGTCAAGTCTTCAGCCTGAGCCTGCACCTCCAGAGGGTCCCTGTGCTGTGGAAGACGTCCTGCCTCGTTCCTGTGCCAAAGAAGCCGCATCCCAGCGGCCCTCAGGACTGCAGACTCTCTCGGCTCTGACTTCCCACATCATGAAGACCCTGGAGAGGCTCGTCCTGGAGCAGCTAAGGCCTATGGTCAGGCCCTTCACTGATCCACTACAGTTCGCCTACCAGCCCCGCCTGGGAGTTGAGGACGGCATCATCTACCTGCTGAACAGAGTCTACACTCATCTGGACAAGCCGGCGAGCACTGAGAGTCATGTTCTTTGACTTCTCCAGTGCTTTCAACACCATCCGTTCGGCTCCACTGGGTGAGAAGATGGCTGCGATGCAGGTGGAGGCCCCCATCATGTCCTGGATTGTTGATTACCTGACGGGCAGACCACAGTACGTATGCCTACAGAACTGTGTGTCTGACAGGGTGGTCAGCAACACTGGGGCCCCACAGGGGACTCTCTCCCTTCCTCTTCACCCTCTTCACCTCAGACTTCAACTATTGCACCGAGTCCTGCCACCTTCAGAAGTTTTCTGATGACTCAGCAATAGTTGGCTGCATTGAAAAGGGTGATGACAGTGAATACAGGACTGTGGTGGGCAACTTTGTCACTTGGAGTTAGCTGAATCATCTGCAGCTCAATGTGACAAAGACAAAGGAGCTCATAGTGGATCTGAGGAGGGCAAAAACACCTGTGACCCCTGTCTCCATCCAGGGGGTCCCTGTGGACACTGTAGAGGAGTATAAGTACCTGGGGGTGTACTTTAATAATAAGTTGGACTGGACCAGAAACACAGAGGCGGTCTACAAGAAGGGCCAAAGCCGACTCTTTTTCCTAAGGAGGCTGAGGTCCTTCAACATCTGCCGGATGATGCTGAGGACGTTTTATGAGTCTGTTGTGGCCAGTGCGATCTTCTTCGCTGTCACATGCTGGGGCAGTGGGATGAAGGTCGCAGTTACCAACAGACTAAATAAACTGATCAGGAGGGCCGGTGATGTCGTGGGGGAGGAGCTGGACACCCTGACGACCGTGGCAGAGAGGAGGATGCTGTCTAGGCTTCAGTCCATCTTAGACAATGTCTCACACCCTCTCTATGAGACACTGGCCCAGCAGAGGAGCACCTTCAGCAGAAGACTCCTCTCACCCAGATGCACCACAGAGCGCCACAGGAAATCATTCCTGCCTGTGGTCATTAAACTCTATAACGCCTCCCTCAGAGAGTCAGACACCCCCTCTCTGTAATCTGACCTCAAACACGGACAACCATTTCTGCACTTTCTTCTTTCTTGCACATTTTCAAAACTGTACTGTACCTTGTGTGTATATATATATATATATATATATATATATATATATATATATGTGTATGTATATATGTATATATGTTGTATGTAGATTTGGAGTTGTAACAAAAGTAATTTCCCCCTGGGATTATTAAAGTATTTCTGATTCTGATTCTGATTCACACTATTACGGTTAAATTTAGTCCATGGTTCACGGGGGGCAAACTGTGTGGAGGGGTCCATTCAGATTATAAATCAGCTCAATCAGCACCTTTAACAGATCATAATCCTACACATCTCTACCAAGCTTCTGTTATTGATTTAAGTTAACAGATTGACAGAAACACTGGACTGAAACTAGTGATTTAACACACTGCTAATGTCGCAAATGTTGCTAAGGCCTAGTGAAACCTGTTAACAGCAATAAACCGAACATTTACCACAAACATTCTGCATTTCTCACCAACCAAATTGAAGTCAGGTTGGTTATGTTCCTAAATGTCAGTGGTATGAATTTCAGGTTATATCATCCAACCGTAGGTTTACATCTCTAAATAGTTTTGTGTCATGTAATACATTATCCAAACCTCGGAACCATTGTCCCAACTGGTGTTCACTAAAAGCTGGTTCACCTGGTAGGAGAGACAATCAACCAGTATTCAGAGTATTGTAGATGGGACTAAAAATGTGCATGTCATCTTCCTCGTATGTCCATTGTGTTCAGGAAAAAGGCGGCCTGTGTGCACCTGATGCAGAGCAAACACTGACTGTCTGTATTCTTTGGAACTAGAACTTTTGAGGTGTTCTTCCTATTTGTATATACTCAGATAAACTGTATTTGAGAACACTCAAAGTCCTCCTCCACGCTGTTCTGTCAATGAATAAAGAGCTTTGGGGATATCCAGGTTTTCTGTTGCTGAGTTTGGCATATAAACAATCTCCATATGGAGTGAGAAGAAATTGGAGGGCTGAGCATACTGTAATCTGTTCCGCACCCACACGCCTCCACACCCACACGCCTCCACATGAACACACACACACACACACACACACACACACACACTTAAAGCTGCAGTTAAAACATTTTTTTTGTCGTATTTGCTGAAACTTTCACTATATCCTGACTGTAGTACATGAGACAGATAATCTGTAAAGGAATCTGGTTACTCTGGTTCGTTCTAGTGCTCTAAATGACATTTGCAAAAATCCACCAGGTATAGTAAAGTATTTGGATGGAAAAGACTCTTTGGTTTTATATTTGACTGTTTGTCTCCCTAAGAGGTTTTTTGTCGTGTTAATAAAGTTGAAATAATAAAGAGATATTAAGGCAATAAAAATTATTGATAGCACAGCTAAGCTAACTAGCTAAAAGCAGCTACATTTGGAAGCAGTAACTTTACTGTCCATCAGGAAACTCTGTAAACAGGGCTCCAGACTAACTTTTTGCATTGGTTGCACTGGTGCGCCTAACTTTTTTTTTTTTGGTGCACCAGCACAAAATGTAGGTGCACCCAAATTTTTCATTGCGTCGCCTTTAACGCCATAAGGTCACCTTTTTATCACTCTCCATAACTTTCACATAATGTGAATGATTTTTAAACAAGAATAAGGTGTAGAGAAATGCTTGTCTTTATTTGATGCACAATTATATATAAAAAGAAAATAAAGTGTTTAAAGTGCTTCACTGAGCTGAAATTGAACATTTCAAACTAAAACATTAAGCAAAATAAAACATTTCCAAATAAAAGTTCGATACGAAACGTTGTTGACCCGCTCATGAATGCACTATTTCCGGCCATATTCTGACCGCACTCCTCACAGTACACGCAGTGCATTGCGTTACGTCCTTTGTTGTACCTCAGCCAGGGAAATTGTTTCAGACAGTCCTGTCTGAAGGAATATATTTTGGCCTTTTTAATTTGGGTCTCTATCCCAGACTCGGTTGTTTCCTCCTCTGGTTCCGAGTCTGATGCTGTCGCCGACTGGGGCTCGGCAATTTTTAAACACACACAATTGAGTGCGGTGAACAGGACCACAGCCAATCAGAGGCAAAGACCCGCCCGAGCTCTGTCTCTTATTGGTTTAGAACACGATATGATCCTACCATGAGTGTGTGAGTTCGGTCTCAGGAGAACACAGAGAGATGATGCGCTTGCGAAATAAATTCCTGTTTTCACCTGGGCAACGTCAGGTGCACCAGTGCGACCTAGAAAAATTATTAGTCGCACTCTCAAAATGTTTGGCCGCACATGGTCACACTCTGGAGCCCTGGTAAATCACAGAGAGTTGAGGCGGAGCAGCCGGAGGACATCATAGGGAAAACCAGAAGACATTTTCTCCTTGAATATGATCTAGTTTCACCAAAATCAGTTGCATAGCTGGCGGCGTGTGGCTTAAAGTATCACTTGCTCCACCCCGTAGCCAAAAGTGACAAAAAACAGCTGTACGAGGCGCAGAGTGGGAATGATAGGGGAACCATTCACCCTGAGGCATAATATTGCTATAAGGCTTATTAGATGTAGCATTACTCAGACATTGGGCTCTGTCATTAATCACAATAGTCTGAGAAAAAAAAGATTTGATCCTAATCCTTCTCGGTCACCACGGCACATCCGTACATATTACAACAGTAATGTGGTCACCTTATTCATTGTGTTAGAGCGTTGGCTGGTTTAAAGTTGCCCCTTCAGGCAGGTTGATGACTGATGGACTGTAAAACTAAGCAGGCAGGAGTAAGAGGAGAAGGATATCCCTGCATATACAAACATCTGTCAAACAGTAGCACCACACATGCAGACTCCCACAATCATACCTTTGAGTTGCTTTAAGAGTTAATAATGAACTGTAAGCTAAGAGCAAAGAGGTCACTGGGCCTTTGAAGCTGCAGAGACGCGTAGGCGGTAAATGTCACACAACCGGAAGACATGGGATGTATAGACTAGTGTGTGCGGGGACATCTGAGGTTAAACAGCATGAGAGGATCACTGGGCAGGAAGGTGTGGGCACAAATTAAGGTCAAGGATGACACACAACATTACCACTATGGCATAGGAAATAAAATGGAACCAACATTTTACAGTCAGAACGAACACGCCCTGGACACACAGTGGATACAGCGTGTCCAGAGACAGAGACAACGTCCAGTGTGGCCTGTGGACAGTAAGATAAACTGATATCTTTATCCTCAAACATAAATCCTTTATAAGTCCAGTGCTGCTGCATATGTGACCAATAAAGGCTGATAGTAGTGACTCATACAGTCCACGCTCAGACTAAGACTGCAGATGGTCAAACGGAAGATGATGACGATGATCATTCACTTATGGCAAACCCCTGGGGTGCAGCTCCCCAGTCTTTGGAAAGGTCTTTTGCAAATGAAAAACAAAAACAAGACATTTGAAGACAGCAAATCAGGCTTTAGAAAGACATTTCCCACTATTTTTGACATTTTATAGACAAATTGATAAGACGTCCTGGTGTCACGTTCACTGTTGTCATTTACTGTATTATCTTTGATGTTTCTAGTTTTATTGTTTTTATATTGTTATTTATTTAATACTTTGTGTAGTTTTTTTTATTGTTTTAAATTGATATTCCTGTTCCAATTTTCTATTATTATAATTATTATTATTAATTATTATTATTATTATTAGGAGCTGACCTGTCACTGCTTCCTGCAGCTGCAGCCTAGATACTTTTATTCCCAGAAAAAAAGCTGTATTAAGTTACTGTTAACGTACGTTACTGCTGCAGCATCACATTGAAAGCATTTAACTGGCGTCTGAAGTAAGCTTGTCACCGGAAGTGCAATGTGTTTGCCAGGAAGCTCGACAGTGGCTGCCATCATTCAATAAAATAGTAATTTGTTGATTCGTTTTTGCCAGCGGATTAGTTTGAAATACCAGAAATGTCTAAAAAAAGCAGAGTCCTAAATATATGCAGGCCTGCTTTACTACCCTTGTGTGGCTACACGTTTTGATAAATAAAGGCAGGTCTCCATTAGAGGCCTGGTCTGGATTTTATAGAAAGTCTTTGGATGTATAAAACATCTTAAATCCCACTGGGTGGAAATTTTGCTCTCAATACTGCTAAAAATAATCTTGATGATTAGGGATGCTCGATATTGGCTTTTCTGCCGATATCCGATTCCGATATTGTCCAACTCTCAATTTCCGATACCGATATCACCCGATACCGATATATGCAGGCTTTTTACACCAAAACTGTTAGTTAACAACATAACATATCTCCTATTGTGGAATTAACACATTATGCCTCATTTTATTGTGATGCCCCACTGGATGCATACATAAATGCAACATGGCTTTCCAAATGTAAACACTGTCTGTGCAAAATAAGAGAACAACTTCAGCTTCCATTGTATTAATACTGAAAAGAGCGCTAACGCTAATCGCTAGCTAAGCGCTAATTGCTAGCTAAGCGCTAATCGCTAGCTAAGTGCTAGCTTTGGTTAATGTGTTTGTGTTAATATTAAAATCATTCAGCTTTAAATTGTTTGCTTGTTAGCCACGGTTAGCAACCAACCAGTCTAGCGTAGTTGTTGTTGTTATACGTCATCTAGCGCGTGCCGGTAAACGTCCCATGCTGCGTTCATGCAGGCTCGGAAACAGAACAAACATCGGTTATGAAAACCCGATACCGATAATTCCTGATATTACATTTTTTAGTGAATATCGGCAGGCCGACATTATCGGACATCTCTAGTGATGATCTGTTTTTCAATGACAGTAATAACTGACTTTCATTAGGTTAGCACATCCACAGCCTAAAGCCTGATTTATAATTCTGCATCGAATCAGCACTAGGGATGGGCTGATATACGATAATATTGTGTATCGCGATAAAAACATAACACAAACATTTATCATGGTGAATTTCCATTATAATCGGGTTAACCGTGAATATCCTCACATGAAAAAGCTGTGTAGCTCTCCAGCATACATGCCTATATTGAGTTCCTGATTTATTTTGAACAAGGGGACAAGGGGGAGACCACATCAGTGCAATTTCAAGGGAAATTTAGTTTATTTTACAGAAAATCGTTATCTTCTCACCTATTAAAGCCAATTAAAAGAAGAGGCAAAAAAGGAAGGTGTTGCAATCTGTATGCATGTTTATATGACAGTCTATAGTGTTGTATAGCTCTTTACTGACTTGTCAGCAGAAATGAAAAGGGTGTGTTTTTCTCTTGCGCTTTGCATTTGGGAAACCTGCTCTCAAGTGTCACACCAGCTTATCCTAGCAGCAGTAGAGTTTTAAACAAAAGGTAGGCGATTGGTTTGAGGAACCCACCAACTGTCTGATTAGTGGACGAGCCACTCTACCTCCTGAGCCACTTTGGATCAGGATAAAGAATAAAGGTAAGGTTGAGTTTCTTGTAGCTTGTGGAAATCCCATATGTGTTGTGTTTATGCCTGCTTCTCAGAGGCAGTGATCCTTGTTCAGCAGAACACATAACTTAATTCTGTTACCATTTTCTTTTCTGCTTTAGTGCTTATACAGCAGGACACATGAAGGGAGTGTGGGGGTTGCGCTCACCTGTGTGGATTTATCTTTCATACAAGATGGGTAGCGCACATGGGGGTCACGAGGCCACTGCCCGGTGAGGTAGGGCCCAGTGATAGTGCCCAAGGATGAAGTCTGCCAAATAGCCCCTGAGCCCCACACCTGCTGGGGTTTTGTCCTTTCAACTGCACAGATAGAAAGAAAAGAGCAACATTAGCTCAGAGTAACAGGAACACTGGTAGCGAAAGAGAATTATCACCTAGATCTTTGCAGCTTTTTGCTTGGTTTTCACTCTCTCTATTTAAGCGTTAGCTAGGCATGACATTATTTTCAGCAGAAGTCAATATATGATCAGAGATGAAAACGCCAATGACTTAAAAGTAACATTACCATTTGTTGACTGTTGCACTCATATGGAATTCTGCTACTTATGCTCAAACCCAATTGGCTCTCAGAAGGGTCAGGAGTGAGGACAGCAGTTGGACCCTTCTCAAAGCCAGCGGCCCCCCGATCGCTGTTGCTGGCAGATCTTTTCAGCTATGAGTAGCTAGCTAATTAAGCTAATGTTAGCTCCACATGCAAGTGAAGTGAGTGACACAGATTCAATAAACTCCAACAATTGCTTCGACCCTTCCATCAAAATAAATATGTACATTTCTAGGCTTTGTATTGGTAATCTGGTGATGATGATCTGGCGATACATGGTTCAGTCACAGACAGCATCAGTCACAGACAGCATCATCCTCAGAGACAAGTTACAACAACCATATTGTCACACTCTAAAGGGTAAATAAGGGTAAAGAATAATGACCACATCTACCATTCATATGTGTGCTCAAACATGATGCCTCATCGGGCCAGTGTTCCTGTTGTAATCTGGTGATATGACTTCTGGTCCAACAATAGAGAATCCTCTTAAACGAGGTAGAGGTGCAGGTCACTTGCTATAAATCCACAGGATTACAAGTACACTCGAGAGACTAAATTAGACTTGGCCGTGATCTTCTAATTATGTAAAGCAGCTGGACACGGTACCACAGAGTTCAGTTCCTGCAGTCCTTCCTGTGTTACTGTATCTCCCCTTTAGAAGGACCAGTACTTTAGTAAATATACTAAAACTATCTAGCACAGAGCACCCGGGCCTCCATAGACATGATACTGTCTTAAACAATTACGCAAATTAACTGTCATGTAGAACAAGCTGAGTATCTGAGGCTACAATTTTTTTCCCCTTCTCCTTCACATGTATATATGGATATGTATATACAGAGGAAGCAATTAAAGCTGCAGTGGGTAATTTGTATATTATATTTTTCATATTTACTGAAACTTTCACTATATCCTGACAGTAAAAAAAAAAAGAAATTGGCACAGATTATCTGTCTCATGTACTACTGTCAGGATTTAGTGAGAATTTCAGCAATAACAATAAACTTTTTATTTTTATAAAAGTTACCTACTGCAGCTTTAATGTGTTGACAACCTGTCTGAGCATGTGACCATATGTGTTTCTTGCCCCATTGAACTTCTTTTTAGCAAATCACCATGTTCCCAGGTCTTAGCAATTCACTTGGTATGAATTGGTATTAGCAATAATGGCATAACCTAATAAGACACAATAAACCAGATCTAACCTTTGATTTAAATGGACAGTCAGCTACTGTAGTTCATGACGTACCAATTAAACCAACCACAACTATACTGCTAGACTTGGCTACACAGCATGTCAGCATTGTGTCGGTTGAATAAGGTCTACAATACATACCAAATATGGACACCTAATTACTAATACTATTGCAAATTAAATTGTTTTGAATATTTCATGAAGGACTGTGATGCTGCTGGCTCAGATAAATAGCTCAAACTGAAACAGGCCTACTACTTCCTGTCATTTGATGTGTTCTTACGTGACCCCAGTGTGCAAAGAGAGCTACAGTATGCAGCTATCATCACACCACTGAAGAAAAACAGACACTCCAGCTCTGGAGTATTGTCCTAAAAACGACATTTCATCAGGCATTTAAACAATGTTTGGCATATCAAAGAATTTGCTTTTTATGTACAGGCCATAGACACTGCACAATTTGACAGTAGTGACTGAAAAAAAGTAATTCTGCACCTTTACATTCACCCTTCAGACTAATGGTTTTTGTTTGGTTTTTATTGCTTTTTATAGGTTTTTGCATGGTCATGGCTTAGCTAAGCTGAATAACCCTCAATTTGCATGAGAGTGCTACTATTCATGTTTTAGGACACTTCTTATTTTAAATAATGTTTTATGCAAATTGTTTCTTTGCCTCTATACATGTCCAGTAGATGGAAAATATCTGTATATGAATGGATAAAAGAGTGTTTCAGTGTTCCATGAATATAAGAACCATTATGATGTAGAGTTGGGCAATGTGGCCTAAAAATAAAGTCTCTCCCCTAAATTCTGCTAGTTCCCTCCCTCCCAGCAAATTTAAAAAATGCGGCAGAGACAATCACTTGGGGGCATGGCCATGTGGCTTCAGAGTGTGTAATGCTGCGACAGACTGACCACTTGGAGCAACAGGAGTACAGCTGCCAGTTGTCAGAGCAAACAGAGCTAACCCACCATGAGCAGCTGCTTTCAGTCTATCCAACACAGACAGTTCACTGGAGCTTTCACAGTCACTAGAAGCACAATCATGGCCGTTTGTAAAAGTGTCTGTATGGTAACTGTGTGTAACTTAGTTTTGACATATATCACTGTGACATGTAGTCATTGTTATAACCCTGCAGTAACATCTGTGGTCACAGGTCATATTAAAGACAAAACTGAACAAGCTCAAGGACAAATTCCTGACCTGACAGTGGTCAAAGTGGCAATCCACAAACATCCGTGGCCTTAGACAAACCCTGTTTTGTGCACAAACCACAGACAAACTTAGTTGGACAATAACAAGTGCTACTGTGGGTTTAGCTGTCATATGAATTGTGTATTCATCAAAACCATAGCCTTTGTTTTACATGTTGTAACCACTGTGGTCATTATCACAATAAAACACTGTACACAATGAATATGACGAGTACAGCTGTGTTGTTCTGCAATAAGCCAAAAAAAAATAAGCAGCACACTCCACCCATAATATTTGTGAAACAGAATCACACAGACAGATAAACTGCCATGTTCCAGTTATTTCTTATGTTATATTTTCTGGGGGCTTTTGCCTTTCCTATCAATAGTGACAGCTGTAGAGTGACAGGAATGGGGGGTCCCATGTAAATGTAAGTAGTTTATTGAATGTAATGGACAGGTTCTATGATCACTCTGCAGCTGTGGAGCACCACCTCAGTTTCAGCCGAGCAGTTTAGACCCAAAGGTTCAGACATCAGAGTGAAAACAGGAAACTAAGGTATAGAAAGTAGGCTATGGTAAGCATACAGGGGAAATCCCAGTGTTTGCCTAAAAGGTGCGCAACCGGTGCAGATGTAGTTGACAACTCGATTGGGGGACGCGGGTTGGCAGACCTCAGAGTCACCAATGCGGCTGTAGACTCTAAAAAGGTCCAGAGTGTAAGAGTTAGTGGCATGCTCGAGAGTGTCCTTTACTGATATTTCATTGATGTAGACTTTATCGCCACCTACTGGCATGCTTGTTTGAGGATTTGGGATATTTGGATATTTTGGAAAACAAAAGGATGCCGGGACAGAATTTGTTTTGTCCACCGTTCTTTGCTTTTCTTCAATGAAGAAATACTGTCCAGTTCTGATATATCGGATGCTTACAAGATCTACCCTAATCTCTTTTAGCAGCCGCCACTGTTGTTTTCGAGCACCTAGCGTTAAACCTAGCTCATGCCGTGGCTGGCAGTAGTTCCTCAAAGGACACTTACTGGTCCAAACCACTGTGGTTGGACACAAGCACGTAGCTTAAAGCCCGGCAAGATTCTCACGTGAGCTCATAATTCTGTGATCTTGCGAATCTAGCTGCCTCGCAAAGTTAACACCACCCAACTAAACCCCTTGTTCCCAGGATAATTGAAATGCTCACTTGTGCTTTAGCTCATAAAGTTCGTCTTTAATCACCACCATTTAATCGTGGGGCTACTGGGCAATCCCCATTGTTGAGCCCTGCCAGCACAAGCAAGTTCGCTTGGAGACAAGAAATGACCTAATAGTTGCAAAAAAGCAAAAGAATTTACAAATTGAAATATAACCTTTAAAGGGGAACTTGGGAACTCTAGCCATTTCTTCGCTGGTTTTCACTTTTGTCGTCGCATGTTTTCTCAACGAGCTCCCCCTACAGCTCGGGGATGTATATTTCAAAACACTGTCGTAAAAAAACTCACTTGCGGCACCCTCCTCCCCCTTTCTACCGCTGCTGATGTGCATTTGTCGCCGGGCAACTTTTTTCGCGTGGAGCAATGTCTACCGAGGTGGGTAATACATTCATCATCGCTTGTTCTTATAGCCGGCATGGCTAACCGGTATTGAGGGGGGCGCGTGCGTTTATGTAGAATTGCCGTAAAACAGTTTGTGTTTCTCGCTCGTTCTCGCTTCTCACGATACTTTCTATTTCCAACTTAATGGGACGGTAGTCCCAAAGTTGCAAGGTTGGTTTTCTGCCTGGGGACGCTATGGGGAGCGGGGACAGTCACCATTCTTACAAATGCCATTAGGAGCAGTAGAAGCAAGAGAAACCTGATTTTTTTCACAGATCATGAGCCACGGGCCTTGTATGATTTATGCAAACAGTGTGTAAGTGTTGTGGTTTTAGTCACAGTTGGTCAAAGCCTCTCCAGGCTCTGTGAGTTCATTCTTACATTTGGTTGATGCTGAAAACCTTTGTGGGATAACAAGGTCATCCACTATGACTTTTAGTCATATGACTACCTCAAACCGCAGAGAGCAAGCATTTCACAGGTTTTGCATCTCTTTTCTATGTACAGAATGTGTCACTGTATAAATTATTACACTGTCTCGTTTTCTCACCCCTACACAATGACTGGAAGTGAAAGGTTTACAATAAAGTGGCTGGTGCCCAGGTGGTCATAATGTTATGGCTGATTGGTGTATATCCAGAGAAAATGATAAAAAAGTTTGGGATTATTTCGAGCTGAAACAAAAATCTGCACAATGCGTCAGTTGTAAAATTGAACAAGCCTAGCTCAAAAGCACGCTAGCTTTTATTTAGCCGCCACAAGTCATTGTTTTTCTGCCGGAAAAAAAAAAACGAGAAAAAAAGGGAAAACGCGATCATTTGAACGTGTGGCTTCCAGTTCCAGCCCTATACCAACAAACTGCTACAGTAGCTCTTCTGTTGGATCGGACCACACGGGTCAGCCTTCGCTCCCCACGTGCATCAATGAGCCTTGGCCCCCATGACCCTTGTTGCCGGTTCACAATTCCTTCCTTGGAGCACTTTTGATAGGTACTGACCACTGCAGACCAGGAACACCCCACAAGAGCTGCTGTTTTGGAGATGCTCTGACTTAGCCGTCTTGTGTGGAATAATGTAGGCCTACACAGATTTTAAGCTTCAACGCAACTATTTGAATATCCCTGAGTCTGAACACAGTATAGAAAAAAGGCACGCATGTTTAATTTGGAACCGTGTCTCAACTGGAACCGGTTCTTGATTCCAATCCCTCCAACTAAGAGAATATTTGTACAGTATTTATTTTCATTTAGGTTTTCTTAGTTTAGTAAGCCTGCCGGCGTGGCGCTGATGTTATTAGAGCAGGATATTTACCCTCGGTAACGGAAATGCTGCTTGGTTGGGAAGCACTCATGCATAAAGTGTCAAATATATGATATCCCTGGAATTTATGACTGTTTGGGGGAAAAAAATCACTTCAGTAGGTTGCTGGTATAAAATATGCTCAGTATAAAATAATATATATTTGAACCCCAAAAAATCCAAGAAAAAAAACTAAAGTCCAAACTGAGTCAAAGTTTGAAATGTAGGAATACAATACTGATAGTAGTTGAGGGCCAGATTTCTTGATTTTTCTTAAAAACATGTCTATGGCAGAAGGATGTTCAGAAGAACATGAACCTGGTCTCAGAAAAGGGTCTATTTAAAAAAAAAAAAGGAGTGAGCATTAGACTAAAAACTCTAAAGCTCTGTGGTCCATTTTGCACGGACTTATGAGTAGCATAAAGGGAACTACAGCCTGAATTTCATTATGCAACCCTGCATTGTAAAATGACAAATAACTGTGTATCCTTTAAAATGCCATGCTTCAAAATCAGATCACCTGTCCAACAAATCTGATAACTGGTGAGCTTATTCAAAGACGATGATGTTGATGTTTAACCTGACAAAGTGTCTGAACATTGAACTTAACACCATTTACTCTGTGTTTAAGCCTATATTTGTTTATATTGTGACAACTGCAGTTCCTGTTCGTGCTGTAAGCATTAATGAACACACAGCATTCACTCGATTACTTTTGATACTGAGAAAAGCAACTAAAAATGGTGATTAGGAGGCTGGATCTGTTCATTAGTTATTACTTTGTCATAAGTTTCTTTCATCTGATTTATTGATGTCAGATACATGGACATTTAAGATATTACAATCATGACTGATTCTTGCACCGTGCGTATGATGTATGTTTCAGATTCAGGGTGACAGGTCAACTTATGGAGAAAAAAAAGAAATATTACTGCACAAAATTGGATGCTGTTTGCGTCTGAACAGAATGCATTATCTGCTTATATCCAAATGTTGTTTAAATCCCTAACCACGTACCAAAGAAGTGAAGGGAATTCACTCCAACCTACACTACAGAAGGTACTTTCCCTGATTAGTTCCTCTCTAGCTAAAGGAGTGCTAATTAGAGAAATCACAATCACCTGCTATGGTCTCTGGCTGGAACGAAAACTTGCAAACACTCTTCAATAGCCTTATGTCACAGTCTTCCTTTGCACTTTACCTGCTGTTTTAATCACCGTTAGGCCATGACACTTTATACAGGATATATATTTAGTAGCCTCTTCGCAATTCCTGTGTTATGCTAAAATATAATACTGTGTCTATTGGTGGACTATAAGTGGTTTTTGATCTTAAAGCTGCAGTAAGTAAGTTTTCAAAAATATATTTTTGTTTGTTGAAAACAATCACTGGTGAGAAAAATAGCTGATTGTTAAGTCTTATACCCAGGTCATCTAATACAGATGTTTTGGGACCCTGGGAATGAGATTGAACAATCAACTATCTTTCTTGGCTCTGATTGGTTGTTTTCACTCAGGCCCGGTGGATTCTTGCAAATACCATTATGAGCACTAGGAGGAGCCAGAGGAAGCAGATTGTTTCACAGATTATCTGTCTTGTGTGCTACTGTCAGGATATAGTGATACGTTCAGCAATATTGACAAAAAGTTATTTTTTATAAAAATGACCTACTGCAGCAGAGCAACCGTAGCATTTATTTGGAGCATTGTTTCCGTCCACCTAATGAAAGTAAGTCCAATATTCACTCTCAGTTTAGCTTTTCTGGTCTCCACCAACTCCTGAGAAAAATATCAGATTCTTTAGCTGCTTAATTCTCCACTATGTTCACCAGTAACTTTCCATCCGTCTGCTGTGTTGGTAGTGTACAGTTGGTTTATGAAAACTGCAGCCATGATAGCATAGCTTATGAGCTGTAAAACCAAAACAGTAAGCTAAAAGATGCCAAAATGCTCCATAGAGGTGAGGGAACTGCATTTGTGACTGTCTGAGGTACATTACACACTGGCTGTACTGGAAACTGCCTACTATACAAAAGCAAAATCTGCCAAATCTGTAAGTACGCCAAAAATACCCGGAGGGAAAAAAATCCCCTGCATTCATCAGACCACTCTACCTAGCCTACTGTATCCCACAGTGCAAAGCGCTAGAACAATCACAATCATCAACAACCAGTCAGGCAAACAAGTTAGTTTTTTGAGAATTTCTTATGCTATAATCAGGTTCCTCTGGCTCCTAATGGCATTTGTAAGAATCCACCGGGCCTGAATGAAAACAACCGATTAGAAGAAAGTTGGGTGACTGTTGAGTCTCATTCATAGGGTGTCAAATACAGACACTTTGGAACCCTGGGAATGAGAATCAACCATCAACTATCTACAAGCTTCCAACCCAAAGCATCTTTATATCTTATATATTATTTATATATCTCGGCTCTGATTGGTTGTTTTTGTTCAGGCGCGGTGGATTCTTACAAATGCCATTAGGAGCACTAGGAGGAGCCGGAGGAACCTGATTTGTTCACAGAGTATCTGTCTCATGTTCTACTATCAGAACACACTGAACATTTCAGCAATAATGAAAAAGGTTATTTCTATAAACTGGGGGACACAGGACCCTAGGGACATGAGATATGCTCCCATTTGATCCATTGTAAGTATTTATTTATGTATTTATGTATGACCACCACAATCTCTAAATAGACTACAATGTCGATAGCAGCATGACCATGGCAATAAAATTACGTAAGAAGTCTATCAATCTATCTCTCTATCTGTCCATCTATCAGTGATGGCAGTTCCATCAGGTTCACATAGCCAGTGTCACTGTTTAGCAAAGGTCATCAGAATGAAAGTTGTCTGTGTGTTTATTGGTCTTTGGCAAGGGTCAAACACACAATGCTCAGTGCCACCCTGGCTTGATGCATGCCATCCCGATCAAAATGCCCTGGACACGCCACTGCTACCAGCAGGGATATCTAAGAGAATAAAGTGCATAAAATAGCCTGTAATATTTGAATCCAGAACACATGTAAAACATTAGAGCTAACAGCTCCCCACAAATACATGCAGTAAGCACGGAGTAGCCATGGCACATGCTGAATGCTGGCTTGGCTGCACAGATAATTTACTGTACTTGCAAGGAAACTGTATACCTTTCTGCAGACAGTATATACTCGCGTTTGCAAAATAGTATTTTAATGTGTATGCATGTAGTTGCAGAGGCTGGCCTGCCTGCACAGAAGGCTCTGTTTATGTCTCAGACGGCTAGGCCCCAATGTTGCCATAGGAGCCACAGACCTACCAGCTGACGACATATTTCCCTGTTTCAATGAAGGTAAACAACCCCAATGTAACGAATTAATAACAAGCTTTCACAGCAGATCCTGCAAATCTGGCTAATCATCCGTATCATGTAGATCAGTGAGTCCTGTTTATCTCCGACAGAGTAGCTGCATCATCCCTACACAGGCATCCGTACCCTGACATATTTACCTCATCACAGCGAGCAGAACGCCAGTGTACTGTAATAACAACTGCTCCGGCTAATGGCACATTATTGCGTTTAAATCGACACTGGAATAACATACATTAACAGCCCTTGATGTGCTGTGCTAAAACTATGACTGATATTATGATGGAAATTGGAACATGGTAGCAGGAGCTATTGTGGAAATATAGCAGTTATAAGCGTCCCCTCGGTGTTTTTAGCGTCAAGCATCACATCCCTAACGTATTATGACCCAATTAGAAAGCTAGCTTAGCCTACTATCTTAGCATCTCAGTTCACTCGCAGTTACAGAGGACGGCTCGCTACAATAAATCTTGCAATGGAAAACTTGGTAGTTTTAGGTGGTCTGGTATATTGACAAACTTATATAGGCTTTAAAATAACCCAACAACTTGTGTCTGAATAATGACAACCCGATTTACAATTCGGCGTAAGTCCAATTTACTAAACTTCCCTCATTTGCATTAAAATAGAATATTTTGAGCCGCTTCACCCTCATTTCCACTAGCTTCTCTTACCAAAACAACGTGGCGCCTCATGGCGAGGGAAATTATTACATTTGAGATTTTATTCAAGTTAAATGTTAAATGGTGGTCTATACGTGCGCCGAACATAAGAGCACCATGTAGTTGTGCAGAAAAAAGCTTGGTTGTCATTTTTCAATACACGTATCGTGTTCATTCGTCGCCGAAACCCTTCAATTGTCAGATTGTTTAAGCTAGTTTGGCGTGACGATCGTGACAGAACGAGTCTTAGCATAAGTTAGCACCAAGCTATCAGAGCGATGACGGGTGCATTAAAGGTAAACTTCATTGACTTTAAAGGGCGGAATTACCTTTGGATAGAGGCGAGAGTGGTGGGCGTTCTGGTGAGCTCCTGCTGTCCGGCGGTGAAAGCCTCTGCCTGGGGACCAGCCTACCGTCCGAGCCGCTTCCACCCGGGTTGGCGGGACTGGAGCAACGGGACGTCGTTGGACCTGTGTTGCTCCCGGCTACTGAGAAGGAGGAGGAAACGGAGCGGGTTGGGCTGTGCTGATTTCCACGCAGAAGCTGGTACGGCACCGTGGCGCGGATAGGCTGCAACCGGACCGCGGCGGTGTTGTTGCTACAGGAGGGGCAGGGGGCTGTCGGGGAGCCGCTTTGTTTAACCCGCTGCTGGGATGAGCTAGCCTCGGCTGTTGATGCTGACATAATCCACCACGTTCACTTTATAATGTTGTTTATGCAACAATATGAGTTGTAAAAGTTCCCCCGAGTCTAACTTTAACTTGTTTTTCGACAGACGACCAATACGCCACCATAACAAGGTTTCCACCAAAGTTTCTTAAGTTAATTCCCGACGTCCAGTCAGTCCCAACCTGTCTGCACTTTACATTTCTGCGATGCTACATTTCTACTGCGTGTCTCGTACAAACAGTGTCCTGTTCACGGTCTGCATAGTTCAATCACTGTGTCCGCGTTACTTTGTCCAATTGGTCAAGTTGTCGTTTTCGCAAATCCCTTACCACAGTTTCCAGTAGTCACTTTAACAACTACTGACAGCAGAGTTTGGACCATGGGTGGGGCCAAATCACTACGGCTACTTTCGGATTGGTGCAGGACTACTTCCTGGATGTCAATGGGTTGCTTATTGGATGTATTGAAACCTTAACCAATGTAAATGAGCAGTGTCTTTCTGGGTCTGCTATTGGTTGTTGACCACTGTATAGAGATAGGCCTATTGGCATTATGTGCATATGATTGATACATATTTAAACAGAATATAACATTATAACTGCAGTTAATAATATATTAGTACACATCATACACACAGTGCAAGAATCAATCCCTCCTTCCAGTGATTGTAATATCTTAAATGTCCATGTATCTGACACCAATAAATCAGATGAAAGAGACTTATGACAGTTAAAGCTGCAGTAGGTAACTTTTATAAAAATTTCTTTTTGTTATATTTGCTGAAACTTTCGCTATATCCCGACCGGGCCTGAAGGAAAACAACCAATCAGAGGTGAGAAAGATAGTTGTAGAGTCTCATTCCCAGGCCATTACATATTGATGCTGGGAATGAGACTTAACAATCAACCATCTTCAAGCCACCAGCCCAACACATCTTTACACGTTTCTTGGCTGATTGATTGTTGGCTCTGATTGGTTGTTTTCTTTCATTCTTGCTAATGCCATTAGGAGCACTAGGAGGAACCAGAAGAACCTGATTGTTTCACAGATTATCTGTCTCATGTTCTACTGTCAGGATATAGTTAAAGTTTCAGCAAATATGACAAAAAGTAATTTTTATAAAAGTTACCTACTGCAGCTTTAACTGTCAAAAGTTTCTTTCATCTGATTTATTGGTGTCAGATACATGGACATTTAAGATATTACAATCACTGGAAAGAATGAATTCTTGCACAGTGTGTATGATATGTATTAATATATTACTAACTGCAGTTATAATGTTATATTCTGTTTAAATATGTATCAATGATATGCACATAATGCATATACATTTTTATAAAAAAAAAAGCCTACTACAGCTCAAACTCAGGGAATAAGATGGTTTATGAAGATTTTAGTGGTAACACATGGCTAATTTGCTTATAAAATAGAATGTGAAAGGTATATTGAATGTATGTTAAATGCACACCAGGTTTGAAGAAACCAAATTTGATCATGTATAAACAATCAAAGGTACATATACAGTGTTTAATACATTTCTGGGTAGATTCATGACTCTATGCATACATATTTTCTCTTCTCAGTCAAAATGCTATCAATATATTAAAAGCTTCTATTTACAAAATAACTCAAAGGAAAATTACCCTGGTAGTGATATCAATTCAGCCAACTTCATGTAATCTGTTTAGAACATAATTCAAACCTGTCATTTGACTGTTCTTGATTAGACTGATGTGTGTGTTAGTAAAAAACATTGAGGAGCTGGAATGACCTTCACTATCACAGCTCTCGTAAATTCAGCATATTGCACTCTTAAAGGTAAGATATATATACACAAGATTTAAAACATTAAAATAGCAGCAAACAACTATTAGCTATTTAAAGATATAGTGGAGTCATGGTGTCCTGAGCAGAGAATGAAGTCACACTCCTGCCTTAATTTAAGTGCTCATACAAATTAAAGCTGCAATAGGACATTTTTTTTATAAAAATAACTTTTTGTCATATTTGCTGAAACTTTCACCATATCCTGACAGTAGTACATGAGACAGATAATCTGTGAAACAATCCAGTGGCTCCTCCTAGTGCTCCTATAACACCTGCAAGAATCCACTGGGCCTAAATGAAAACAACCAATCAGAGGCCAGAAAGATGGATGATTGTTGAGTCTCATTCCCAGGTCATCAAATACAGACACTTTGGGACCCTGGGATTGAGACTCAACAATCAACAATCTTTAAACTTCCAACCCAAAGCACTTTCCAACTCTCTAAGCTCTGATTGGCTGCTTTTGTCCATGCCCAGTAGATTCTTGCAAATGCCATTAGGAGCACTAGAATGAGCTACAGAAAACAGATTTTTTCACAGATTATCTGTCTCATGTAGCACTACTGTCAGGACACAGTGAAGATTTCTGTAGTAATGGAAAAAATATATTTTTATAAAAGTTACCTACTGCAGCTTTAATCTCTAATAAAATATATGTTCTTCTTCTAATCTCTTTATCGGTACACTACAGTACAGGACATGCTGTCATGGCTTGAAAAAATGTCTTGAGAAGTAAAAAGTACACATACTTAAACTTGGCAAAGTCATCACTAATGGCATGTATATTTGAATACATTCTAAGGAAAAAGGTATCCCATAAACACAAGAAAGCAAAGACAGAATACATTTTACAATAAATTAATGGTGGCAGGAAAATATCAAAAAGGCCACATTCAGGGAACACAAATCTAGCCTAGTGATTATCGGTGGGGAATAACAGTTTTAAAATAGTCAAATATGGGAGAGAGTGTTTTTGCTAAATATTATGTCCAATATATAAATCACATCATATCCAATTATTACATGAGTTGTAGATAGTAAAAATAGTCTTACCGTACATTTTTACTTCATCATTCAAACAATTTTAACATTCTGCGGTTTGTACATTAATAGGTGATTCTACTTAAGACTTGGGTTTAACTCAATGGGAGGTAGGGCATTTCCTTTCCAAGTACTAAGCTTTGTTCAAAGTTAATGCTTCATCTTTTGGTGCCACATCCTCAAATGGGCTGAAAAAAAAAAAATCTCCTTCAAAAGACCTATTCCAAACAATAGACAGTTCACAGCACAAGGACTATGGAATCCTATACAGTAATATATCAACTTCAGTTTAGGGCTATCGCCATATCAGACTTTAACTGCACAATTATTCATGATAACAATATTATTAAAATTAGAATAAAAAATAATAATACTATCAGTCAAATTAATTTTTTTATTGCGTGTTATGTCTATTTTTTGGCAAATTAATTACACTCAACTGTAACGCTGGCAACCAGCATTAAGGTGCATTAGTGTGAACCACAAAACAGGAACAGAAATAAACAAAAATGATTTAAAGCTGCAGTAGGTAATTTTATGAAAATATTTTTTGATTGGTTGTTTTTGTTCAGGCTCAGTGGATTCTTGCAAATGCCATTAGGTGCACGGGGAAGAGCCAGAGGAACCAGATTTTGTTTTACAGACTATCTGTCTCATGTACTACTGTTAGGATAAAGTGAAAGTTTCAGCAAATATGACAAAAAGTTTTTTTTTTTTTTTTTTTATAAAAGTTACCTACTGCAGTTCTAACTAGCTCAACATGGCATTTTTTACTTGTCCCAGGCAAGGGGGCAGTCCAAATTGTCGAGCCCTGTTTCAAAACAACCTAACACATATTTAATCTGAACCTTTTAGGTTCGGTGCTAGTAGCAGAATTCAAGTAATCAAATGATCATTTTTGACTTCACGCCTCTGGACTTTTTTACAGCAATGTTCCCATATCTCAGCAAATGTCTTGCAAAGTTATCAGAACTGACAGAAACCCAAGTTTTAATAAACTGTAATTCACAACATCCATATAACGCACTGTGCATCACTGTATCTGCAGTGTGCCTAAGGACTTCACAGTCATGATGTCTTAATCAATCACAACCAGGCCCATATCTGTAATAACTGTGCTCACGTTGAGAGCAACTCAACAGGAGTCCATTAAGTTCCATAAAGCTTTTCAACATCATCATTTGTACAGTCAGTGAGATGGCCCTGGTGGCCCAACGTTATGTCATTTAATTTCAACGCCTCTACATTGAAAGTAGAAAATGGATAAGGAGTTCATAAATTTGATGCTTGTCAATTCTACAACTTATTTGATGTTTTATGTCATTTTAGTGGACTTTCACTTGCTCATAATGCTACATAATCTTGCTTGTGAACTATATTGTAGGCCTGAAACCTCTCACATAACCAACAATCTGCCAAGCTCCCTACAGTGTGAACTCCTGATAACAAATTTAAACAGACTAGGCATTCTGAAGCACAGAGTTCTCTAAAGTGAAGTCGTACTGAAAACTAGCCAGGTTGTAGTTTAAGTCCCGGGACAGCAGCATGTCAGGGATTAGGGGGAACCCCGCCTGCATGGCCAGAACATGAGGAGCCAGGGTGAAGGGGACATCCCCCAGAAGATCCGGGACATTCGGTGCAGCTTCCACCACTAAGGTCCCTGCTAACGGCGATGTAGTAGGTAGAGCTGTAGGGTGCTTTGTGTCGGGTTGAGCTGGAACTGTACAAAATGGCTGTGAGGAAAGAGCAGATTTAATGTCAGTGTTGAGATATTACTTTTAGATACACATTTGGTCATCTAATCTCTTTTCACAGTGGTCTTCTACCCCACAAGCAGCAGAGGGGAGAGCTTTAAACCTTGGTCAAACATAAGGTTCCTCCTAGTGCTCCTGGTGGAGTCTTGCAAATGCCATTAGGAACACTAAGGGAGCCAGAGGAAGCTGATTTGTTCATAGATTATCTGTCTCATGTACTACTGTCAGGATATAGTGAAAGTTTCAGTAAATATGACTAAAACAACTTGTATAAAAATCACCTATATTAAAATATATTATATATTAAAATCCCAATTTGAGTATCTTGAGAGTGAAGACACCAGCCTTCACTTCTTTAACATACTAAGGGAGGAAGTTGCAAAGTTGTAGTCCCCACCATTACAGTTGACAGGTGTGACGGCTGTGGCTCAGAGGCTAATCCAAAGGTTGTTGGTTCGATCCCCGGCTCCTCCTGCTACATGTTGAAGTATCCTTGAGCAAGATACTGAACCCCAAGTGAATGTGGCATGTAGTGTAAAAGTGCTTTGAGTGGTCGGAAGACTAGAAAGGTGCTATACAAGTACAGGTCCATTTACCATTTAAACCATGTGCTGAACGTACACTATGCATTAGTGACTTCAGGGGGATAGTGCTGTAAGAGTGAGGGTGTATATGCACGAAAACCAAAAGTAAAATTGAAACAATCTTGGCAAAGCTCATTGGTTAGAGGGAAAACACAGCGTTGTCACAACCTTTTAAGAGAGAAATGTTCCTCTGCTTGTTGTTTGTCTAATTTACAAATTTACACATGCATGCTTCAAAGTAGTGCAGGCCTGGATATAGAATTCATCCAGAGTGGCAGATTTGACACTTGTGCTTTAACATAAAATTGAAGGCAAATGTGACACTAAACGCATGTTACAGGAAATAGTTATTCCTCTGCAATTGAGAGGCAGAAGTTTGCTGTGGGACTGGAGCAACAGGGTCCCAGGTCTTGTTTTCTGTTCTGCTATATTATATTTCTATAAGCCAAAGCACAAAACAAAGATCCTACACCTGGAGCTGATTGTGATGCTGGTAGCATTGTCAGTGTTGTCGCTGTACATAGCCACAGTCACTATGAGCCTGTTTCCACCTAATTTAACATGCATCTTGGGTGATCCGATCACAAGACAGTTCTGAATACAGTGTAAACCACTGAGATTGCACTGTTATCCGATCACTCAAACCACTTGCTGAGGTGGTCTGAGAGGCATCTGAGCACATATCTTTTGTAGTATAAACGCTAATGCATCCTGGGCCACATTGAAGCATTTGGCTGGTATTGTTTTCACCTTGTGAGTCTGTGGGTCTGTATCATCATGGCAAAATGTGGTCCTGGAGTCCCCAACTGTAGCAGGAACTACCACTGAGGTGATTTACAGTACTTTGCTAGATGTTTAAGTCTGTATGTGTCCCACATTTTGTCAGCGTAATAGCTTCACAACCGTGCAAGATCCAGTCACTACACTTCATAGGTATGGAGCTGAGATCAAAATGAAGATTGAGTTTGCAAATGGGTTTGGACCAACCGTTGACAGTACTTATAATGGACAGCGCTTCCAGGTCTGTGAAGTGAAGCTGAACATTCTATGTAATGGCCAGCAGGGGGAGCTCTATTGGCTGCAATAAAACCAATACCATGCAGTCTTATGGAGAAATGACTCTACTTCTGACTTGATTTATGAGCTCAGTAAACAGTTTCCTAATTAGTTTAAGCTCTCAATCTCTAGTTTCAGTCTTACTCCATACAGCATGATATGCTTTATGGCGTGGCTACCTTATGATTGACAGGTCATTCTCAGTGAGTCTGTCCAGCTCAACGCACCAAACTCAGATCAAACTGTCAAACTAGGCAGTGCTGGTCAGATATGAATCCAGATTCTGTTACTGTGTTGGCTATTTCTCAACTAAAATCGTTTCCCAAATATATTTTGGTGTACTGTTTATCTGTAATCACAGTACGTCACCTCCGCTGGCTCAGACACACTGTCATGGTGACGGCTATAATGCCAAACTTGAGGATTCAAAACAGTACTCCACAAACCAATGGGTGACGTCACGATAGGTTCACGCTGCTCATGTAACAACGTAGTAATGAGTAGTCAGGGGTTGGAACAGCAAGATGTTGACAGGCATCGCAGCTCGTGTAATCCCATCATAAGATGGTCTCTAGTTAGTTTTTAATTTTAAGCATTTTATATATTTGTGTATTGCGATAAAAACACAAACATTTATCGTGATGAATTTCCATTATCGTGATAATCATGAATATCCTCACATGGCTTGACTTGAAAAAGCTGTGTATCTCTCCAGCAGACAGTCCTATGTTGATTTCCTGATTTATTTTGAACAAGGGGACAAGAGATACAATAAATATGTGTTTCTTAACAAAATCTAAGATAAAGTGATTAGTGCCATTTTAAAAGTACGAAGTATATTTTCATGATATCGTCTATATTTCATGAGATGATGAACATCGCGTATTGCAATAATTTTGGCAAAGATAATCGTTTTCTTAAAATATGCGATGGAATATGCGGGATATTTATGCAATTTTATGCGATGAAACTGCGGGAACTGGCAAAAACCGTGATTGATGAAAAAGAGGGAAAAAAAGTGATTCCCCCAACACCCTGTTCTCACTAGGCTACTACCTTAATGTAAAGAGTCATTTCTTATTACTTCCTATGATAAGCAAGCATACTACATCACAGAAAGTGCTGGGAATATTTAAGTTCTCATCTTGTTTTATTTCAGACCTTAATAAACACATGGCTCAAACTTACTTACATTGATGAGTCAAACAAGTTCTGTAGCTTTACAAAAGGAATATGCGACAACTTCTGTAAAAATGAATAAATAAAATATAAAAACATAAAATGTGTGCTTCCTGTTTTACAGAGGTAGTTATATAAAACAGACATCTTCTGTTAAAATAAGTGCTTCCAATGCAGTAAGTGCAATCTCTTACGGTAACGTACATTTACATACTACTAATATACTTACAACTGTATGGTTTTCATCGCGGGGTACCTTTTCGATGATGTTCACGTCGCGTAACTACGTCACTTCATAACGTTCCCATGGCAACAGGGGAAAATTGGCTTTTTAAAAAAAAATTTTTTTTTTTTTTTAAAAAAATTTTTTTTTTTTTAATAAAAAAAATGGGGTTTTTTTAAAAAATGCGGCCCCGCATAAATGTGCGGACTTTGGCTGATTATTCTTGATTTTTTCAATCCATTATTTTATTTTTTTGGGAGGGTTTTTTTTTCACCTCTTTTAAGAAAGTATTTAATTAGGGTCATTTTTTTAATTTTTTTTTTCTTTAATTTTCACCTCTTCCTGTTTACAAACAGCACTTAGTATGGGCCTCATAAAGTTGTTGTTAATGTTGTCTCCTCAACAATCTCTACCAGCTAGAAAAAAGACCCCAAAAGTTTGACTCATAGGTTTAAGACAAAAATGCCAAGATTTTAGGATCTCTCTAATCCGACTTTTAGTGCCCACTCCTTTTTATTCAACAAGGAACACACGTAAAAATTAATCCAATGTACAATTAAACGTGTTTTTTTTTTTAAAAAAATTTCTTTTTTTTTTTTTTTGAGCTCTAACTAAAGTGTGAATGCCTTTCCTTCCTTATAAAGACCATTTTAGATTTGAGATATGTTAACACACATGTTTTTTTACAAAAAACCAGCACAGTATTTTACATACTTTAAAATCTGGTAACTTAATCTGCTTCAGTTATCGCACACAAAAAAATTTTTTAAAAGGAGGGGGGAGAGAGGGGGGAGGTCAAAAAAAACCCCTTTTTTGGGTCATTTGGTTTCCTAATGAGTTTGACTCATAGGTTTAAGACATTGGCTTAAATCTACATCTGTATAACCTGTGTAATCCCCCACTGTTAGTTACTGCTGCAGTCTCATGTTGAGAACACAGTTTTACGTGTGTGTGTGTGTGTGTGTGTGTGTGTGTGTGTGTGTGTGTGTGTGTTGCAGACGTAGGCTTTGCAGTGAGGGTACAGTGTTGCTGCATCTCTGTCCTTCTTGTTGCACCATGTGATTAAAACTGGAGGGCCACTCACTGACTGTGTGACATGTGGTAGCTCCAGGATGCCATATGGACCAAACGTGCACACCACTGTCCACAAAAATGTCCTTAATTAGAAACTAAGCAATTAGCACTGAAGCATTAAAGCTCATAAGTAAATGTAACAGCAGTCAGAAAGCCAGCAGAGCTCTGAGGAGGCTTGTGTCTCAGCTCAGTTTTAAAGCCAGCGTGGTGAATGGTAGTGGCACATTCTGGCACACTGGCTCAGCACCTGTCAACATCACAGCAGTGGAGATTGTTCTGAATGAACCATGCAGGACAAGGCCAGCTGGGATCCAAACAGTGACTGGTCTCAGAGCTGCCTTACTCAGCATATGAAGAAAAACACGACTTCCAGACCGTTTCCTGCTTTGGAAACAATCTCTTTTCTTCCTCTGATTGCTCTGATTGAAGAGTTCCACAATGGTGATTACAATACCACAGAGGAAATTTAAATAAAGCTACATTTGGTAACTATTATAAAAATAACTTTTTCCATTATTACTGAAATTTTCACTATATCCTGACAGTAGTACATGAGACAGATAATCTGTGAAACAATCAGGTTCCACTGGCTCCTCCTAGTGCTCCTTATCTGCAAGAATCTCAGTCCCAGAGTCCCAAAGTGTTATTTGACGACCAGGGAATGAGACAATCAACTATCTTGCTTGGCTCTGATTGTTTATTTTCGTTCAATTAAATTCAATTATATTTGTATAGTGCCAAATCTATAACAAATGTTATGAGAGACTGAAGTTGTCAGGACACTTTTCAAATAGACTAGGGGCCTGTCCTCACGAATACGCGGCCTCACCCAATATGATGTCGTTTCGAAAAAAATCTCCATAAACACAATTATGTAATTTTCAGAAATATCTGCGTCCACACAGATTCACTGAAACGACCCAAAACGCTGTAGTACATATGCCAGGTCTGTATGTGGCGCTGTGACGCCGCCACACCAATACACTAAAACCGGAAGAGAAGCCATGGAGCCTGCTGTTTACAAACAAGTAGTAGTATTCCGTTGTTGTTGTTATGATCCGTCTAGCGGCAGCGGCTGAGGTTAAAGGCTAGAGGCGGGGCTAATACGTCATCGTTTCGGAAAAAATCTGTTTTCGCCGTCCAGACAACTCCAGGCAATCCGGCGTTTTCGGATTTTCACACTCTGGGACCCGTTTCCAAAAAATACTGTTTTCACACCCCAAAAACACCGTATCCGTCTGGACGCCAGGCCGATACGATAAAGTATTTATCCGGATTCGAGGACAGGCCCTAGGTCTAGACTGCATTCCTTAAAGGCCCGGTGGATTCTTGCAAATGCCATTAGGAGCACTAGGAGGAGCCAGAGGAACCTGATTTTTTTTCACAGATTATCTGTCTCATGTTCTACTGTCAGGATATAGTGGAAGTTTCAGCAAATAAGGACAAAAAAATATATTTTTATAAAAATTGCCAACTGCAGCTTTAACAGCATGAACTGAAAAGCTCAACATCCTCACCTTTGATGGCAGCACTATGACATTTGTTGACAGCTGTGCGATGTTCATGGTCTGCATCTTCCTCCTCTGTTCTTCAGCTGTCTCTCCTGCACAGGAAAGATGGCAGAAACTGAGTATGATTTGTAGTAATTGGGCAACACGAAAAAACACAATCAAGTGCTGAAACAATCCCAATTAAACTATTCTGATTACTTTTTTTAATTTTGATTACTGCTTAATTGACTGGATAAAGACTTAGAGCCAAAAAAATAGTTGAATGTTGAGTCTAGACTCCTCCTAGTGCTCCTAATGGCATTTGCAAGAATCCACCGGGCCTGAATGAAAACAACAGAGCCAAGAAAGAGTTCATTGTTGTTGAGTGTACTAGGAGGAGCCGGAGGAGCGAGAGGAACCAGATTTTTTTTACAGATTATTTGGCTCGTGCTACTGTAAGGATATAGTGAAAGTATTTTTAGAAAAACTTTCTTCTACAGCTTTAATTGGCGGTATTTTTGGCCACACTAGCTGTGTGACTACACAAATGGCAATGTCAGCTGATCAGATTCAATGGATTGCCATTAAATGATGAACAGATATTTATAATCCACATTGGAGTTTTCATCTAGCACCACCAGCACATCATTTTCATGTATCCAGTGATATATAGTATTCACCTCTACTGAATGGAATGTTTGGTTCAGACATTCATGCTTCCCTGATGATGTATTCTTATAACTTCTGGTGATGCCCTCGAGCAGCATCATGAGGTTGATATGTTAGGTTCAACCACTGTATGTGCAAACATCTGTGTTTCCCACAGTGATTATATCCTAAAATTTTATCAGTAGCGTAACATAGTGACCTTTTTGCTTGCACCATCTTCACAACTAAACATTGTAATACTACCATCTCACTCTAGAGCACTTGATGCAATAAACTTTTTTATTTATTTAGATTTAATGACAGTGATTGCTAAATAAATGCAAGCTTTAGATTTTTATCTACCTCAAAATGTGGATTTCTTTATAATACGCATTTATGCTCATAGACCAGATAACATGGCTGTAACACTGTAATGTGGCAAGTAGTTTTTTTCCGTCAGCACAAATAAGGTCAAAGGGGGGATTATTTGTGGTGTACAAGTGGTTTTGTGATCACATTAATGGGTTAAAAAGCATTACGACTGCTAGGAATGATCAAACACAATTTCACTATATTAAGTAAGAGCTGAGCTTTATGCCCTGTTCGGCCCAAGCACTTGTATATTGGCCCCATTTTGCTTTTATCCTCTGATTAGGTACAACTGTGGTTAGCGGCACTTTTTTTACAACACCATGACCACGATACAGGGCTTAACATTCAATATACTGCATAATTTGATCAAGAAAATATATTTTGTAGATATTTCTCTGTATTGTATTTGTTGTATGTATTTATCTCTCTCCAGTCACTGTAACATGGTAACCCCCAGTTTCTATCTAGAGGTTGGACTTTTTAACAAGTGTGAACCTATCGTGATGTCCCTCATTAGTGGAGTACCGTTTTGTAGCCTGGTGTTTGGCATTATGGACGTCTCCATGTTCGATTTTAGTTTGGTGCGTTGAGCTGGACGAACTCACTGAGAATGCCTAAAGCATACCCTGCTTTATCGTGCCTTTATGCTGTATGGAAGAAGACTAGAAGAAACTAGATATTGAGAACATAAACTCATTAGGAAACTGTTTACTGAGCTCATAAATCAAGTCAAAAGTCGGCTCATTTCTCCATAAGACTCAATATTAATAACTATTGGCAATTATACCAGCTGGCAATTAGAAAGAATGCAGGATTAAGATACTTCGACATTTGCTTCACTTCACAGAACTGGAAGCTCTGTCCACTAATTATATACTAATATGATGGGGTTTAAACACAAAAATGTGTTTTCAGACTTAATGCAATATCACAAAACAAAACATCACATTACTGTGTTTTAATCATTTATTACACCCCTATTATCAGAATAGAATGGTCACTCCAATGTTAAAAAAATAAGATACAGATGTGCCAGATGATAGAAATATAATCTTCTTATACATCCCTACTTATTTTAAGGCTATGCTAGGGGCTTGGCAGCAGCCTGCTGTCACTAATCTCCCTCGTCAAGTTGCTGAAACACTGAGTAAGTGGAGGCCCTGATAGGAGAACGTGAAAAGGTAGTGCTGCCATCTTTCTCTCCCTCTCCTGGGCCAAACGGGCTCTGTCCGCAGAATGAAATCATTCACGCTGTGATGTCATTGTCTCTGATCTCAGCTTAGCTCAGCGCGTCTCCACGGCAGCTTCCCTAATGGAAGAGGAGTGCTTTCCTCGGGGAGTCAGCCAGACCCAAAGCCCTCTTTGTGTGTGCGTAGATCATATCTGCAATCATCTGATCCACCATCAGCTCAGATCATGTTTCTCACAAGGTGCCTGCCATGTTTACTCTTGTTGCAACTGTACTTTTTAACACTAAAACGACGCTGTAATGTAAAAAAAATATATATGTTTTTACAGTAAAAACTGGCAGCTGTGGTTGCCAGAACTAATAAATAATAAATACATTAAATATAAATACACATACATCTATTACTGTAAAAGGACATTAGTACCGCTCATTTGAAGTTTTAATCCATATTTTCCCATATAAATAAGTTATAATATAAATAAATAAATACGTTTTTATCATCAAAAGAAACAGTTCTGCCGAATGAAAATAGCATATGAATGCTATGACGTTGGTTTTCTGTGCTATTTACAGTCTGTAAAAAAAATGACTTTATTCCAGATAAATCCCATTTAAAATGTTGTATAAATGAAGTATTTACCATGAGATATCACAGTGTTTTACTGTTACAGAAGCTTTAATCTGTTTCGAGTTTAAGGTCTTTTACTGTCATGGTTTGACAGTTTTTCCCGTAAAATCTACAGACTTTCATTTACTCTTGGGTGCCTGATTAAAAAGTACAGCAATTTGTAAACAATTCATGACATGTGGATGTAATTTTGTTGCTGTAATTGTTGTCTTTTTCAACAACAATTCCTCTACACTGTAAAAGATTAATTCTAATAAAGAAAACGGTAATAGTCCGGCAGACACCAAAAAGATTACTGTAAAATTACAGAAAATAACTGACTTGTAAAAATACAGTAATTTTCTCTAATTAAAATATAGTTTTTAGCTTTTATTTGACATTAAATCTTGTGTAATTTTACATTTACACATGTAAAAACAAGGAAATGACCTATACATACAAGTGAACACTGCTATAATACAAATTATCAGGCTTAAATTTACATAAGACTGCTGTTATTATTTGACTTTTCTTATTTTAATCTGAATTCTCAAAATTATAGAAAGTAATTATCTTTAAAATTACAGCAATTATTGTTTGTATTTTGACAGTTTACCAATGCTTACACACTGATAAAAAAAATGTATTCAACGTTTTGTTGTGAAAACGTCCTTGACTATATAAGATTAACAATTAACAAACAAATCCATTCTTGCAAATGGTAAATGGTAAATGGACCTGTACTTGTATAGCACCTTTCTAGTCTTCTGACCACTCAAAGCGCTTTTACACTACGTGCCACATTCACCCGTTCATACACATTCACTCAGTGATGGCAAGTCCATCAAACAGAAACTAACTCATTCATACACCGATGCTCCACAGCAATTTGGGGTTCAGTATCTTGCTCAAGGATACTTCGACATGTGGCGGCAAGAGCCAGGGGAACGAACCAACAACCTTCCGATTAGTGGACGACCCGCTCTGCCTCTGCAGCACAGCCGAAAACAGTGAAAGTCAGAAATACCACAAAAAGTGATTTTTTATAAAAGCTACCTACTGCAGCTTTAAACCTCTGTTTTTGATAAGTGTTATACAGATAAATATTGTTATTATTATTATTATTATTATTATTATTATTATTATTATTATTATCATCAAAATGTTTGATTATTCTGTCAAATAACACGAGTGCTGCAGTATGTGTCAAGCTCCATAACTAGTCACCTTTTTCCCCACCTAGTGACAAGGGTAAGGCTGCAACTAATGTTTATTTTCACTATCGATATATCTGTCGATGTTGTAGCGATTAATCAATTAGTTGTTTGGTCCACAAAATGTCAGAATAATAGCTTATAATTAATTTATAATTAATAAAGTTAATAATAACTCTAGTCAACGGTTGACCCCATAGATAAGCCTTCATTCAAACAATAGTGCTTTCTGCCTGGACAACCAAACACCGACAGAGAAGAAGGGACATTGGCCTGGCAGAACTCCCCCACAGCCTCGCCCCGCTGGGACTTTCCACAGCCTCTGTTTGGTCTGGCCTGCCTGACACCTGTTATCTAGTCCTGCATGGGACCATCAGTTCGGCTTTGGACATCTGCTCCTATCAGTTGAAATAGGCTACATGAGTGAAAAAAGAAAACTTAATAACAGATGCACTCTTAAAAACACTTTTTCTCCTCTGACTGTAAACACATTTGATAAAGCTGTATTTGCCTTTTCATTATTATATGCCATTCAGTTGCTCATTATAAGGCCATCTTTGATAAGAGGACGTGACTAAATGGTAAGCAGGAAGTTTACAGTGAACGTCTGCAAGCTCAGTTGGTTGCCTCAATCTGAAAAAGAAAGCCTGGCTCTGACACTTGTTCTCCTCTGCCAAAAATAACATGCAGCTCCTGACCATCTGTGTTAGCTCCACCAGCTCTTCCAATTAAACCCACAAGAAGGGAATGATACAGAACTTCTCTGGGAGATGAAGTAAAATAAAGTTTTATTTAGGATGAACCTTGATCCATGGGAATTGTTGTGGTTTTAGGTAAAAACAGATAGCTAAGTCATACTACAGTGGGAGGATATACAATCATTAAGGTAGTGTTAAATAACAGGAAGTACTGGGCAAATACTAAAACAAAACTAATTATGTATACATGCTTTATCAGTGTTACGCAATGCTAAGGCTATTGTGAATAACAGAATAAAGCCAAACTAAAATTTGATCAAAGCTGTAAAGCTGTGATTTTTCTTTTTTTTCTTTATTTTAATCTGAATCTTAAAGATTATAGAACTGTCATTAAAGTCATTATCTGTGAAATTACCCTAATTATTGATGTTGTCAGTGGTAAAAAAATATTTTTCAAGTTGTAGTTTAATAATGCAATACTGATAAAAAAATATATATAGTTTTTGTTGTGAACACTTCCATAATTATACAAGATATCTGTCAATTAACAAACAAATCCATGTCAAATTACAGAACAAATACTTTTTTCTACTGTTGCTGTGAAACGTATAAACAGTATTCAATTTTAATTCAAAAGTTTAATCTATTAAATGAACAGTAATAACTGTGAAAAGATTATCGATTTGCAAATGTATTTTTTTTTGTTAAAAAAGGAAATTTTCTTTAAATAAGCAGTAATAGTATGATTATTTACAGTTACAGATTTTTAATGTTATTTTACATTGGACAGGTAAATTCACAGGCTGATTTTGTAGTTTTATAAAAAAAAAAAATTAATATAGTGTTAAGAGTCTTGTCAAAGTGTCAATACAATTTCTCAATAAAATAGGTTCTTTTTGGTGGATCGATATACGCCAAATTAAACCCCGACTCATAACACTGTTAATTTACTATCTGTCATGTTTGTGTGACAGTATTTAAGGAGTTCTTCAGTCGTTACCAAAGTAACTACACAGTTTGCTGGTTACTGTTTGGTGCTGATAGCACACTTACACACTACTTTCCAATAATATTTAACATCGGCTACTCCGTCTTTCCTTCACCAATAGGCCAACAAAGGTTCCTTAAACAGGTCAGTATATTCATGAGCTATTTAGCATTGAGCATTTATGGATGATTGTGGGAAGAGGAGTACATGTACAATTCACTGCAGGTGCTATTTACAATGAGAAGACCGCTTACAGGTTTGCACTACGCAGTTTTATATATCTGAATATTTCTTTTCGCAAGTCTTTGCAGAACAAAGTCACATGCTCTGAAGAAGTTGTGAAATGTGTGATATTGTCACACAGTGATGGATAATCATGAGACAGGGAGCCAATGTCCACTCCAAAATTGAAAGTCACTGTCCTGGCTGTGAGTGGTAGAACTGTACCGTAATAAAACCTGTAAATTGTCCATCCGATGGAGATCGATTAATTTTATTTGTACATAGAAAAAGACTTTAATCTGTAATAAATAAAACTGACTCTTATTAACTTAAAACCAGCTAGCATTCATCTGCATTCACCTTTTAAAGTTATGGCATTAAAAAGTACACAAACTCCACCAAAGAGACTAATTCATAATTAACCAAACCGTTAATTTTGCATTATTATTGATCTTTGAAGGGCCATATGGCTGACCAGTTCCTCATACAGAACATGCTATATGAGGAACAATGACTCACACCGGACTCTGTTTAAAATTCTGTGGATGTAACGTCCTGCATATAGGCAACAGTGGAGCTACCCTTTAGACCGTAATACATCAAACCAACCATTCAACTAACTCAACTTCTAAAAATGGTCCCCCACCCTCTACCACTGCTGGTTTACTATCATTAAATAACCACTAATTGGCGCTTTAAATGTATGGTGAAAAAACAGCCAAAATGCCACAAATAAATAGCATTTCCAAATACCAAAATGTCAATTCCATTTTATGAGGTTATGAGGTTTCTCACCAATCACAACAAAGCCTCCATCTACTTCCTTCTCGGATGTTGACTTCTTCGAGTCTTTACGGAGTCCAAGAAAACTGAACATGATTATCCTGTCAACAGAGGAAATTAAAGGTTAGACCGTTATAGCTGTCAGTGTTTCATTTAATTTCATTACATGTTTATTTTATAGGGACAGATACAGAAAATTGCTATACAATATATATCAATGCAATGTATCACAGCATATATAGCAATAGCTTATTTCCAGTGCCTGTCCCTATTCATTTGAGCAAGGGCCATTGTAAATGTTAGAAAAGATTACACTCAAAGTGCAAACTGTTTGGAGATAGACGTGCTTCTCTAACAGAGCTATGACTTCATTTACAGGTTTGTTCTCAAACATAAGATTAAAGCTGCAGTAGGTAACTTTTCTAAAAATAACTTTTTGTCATATCTGTTGAAACTTTCACTATATCCTGACAGTAGAACATGAGACAGATAATCTGTGAAAAAATCAGGTTCCTCTGGCTCCTGCTAGTGCTCCTAATGGCATCCACCGGGCCTGAACAAAAACAACCAATCAGAGCAGAGAAAGATATGAAGACACTTGAAGATAGTTGATTGCTGAGTGTCATCCCCAAAGTGCCTGTTTTGAGGCCCTGGGAATGAGATTCAACAGTTCAACAGGATATAGTTAAAGTTTTCTCAAATACGAAAAAAAAAAAAAAAAAAAAAAAAATTAAATGACATAGTGCAGCTTTAAAGCAGCAGACATTTTAAACTCTAACATTACAACCCCTGAAATAAAATTGTAGTTTGGCTTTATTCTGTTGTTCACACTAGTCTTAGCATTGCATGACACTGAAAAATAAATGTAACCATAATTAGTTTATATAACGTTAGTTCTATTTTTTGCCCACGACTTCCTGTCGCTTTAAAGATTGAAAACAAGCTGAGACACTTGTAACGTTAGATGATACATATATGCAGGAAATGACTGCCTTATGCACCCGACTTCATCATGACGTCTAACATACATGAATTGTTGGAATTATATATTCATTTCAAATTCCATACCAAACGGCTTGTTTTAACACAAACCCAAGCTGTGGCTCTCCCCGGTTAATAAAGACGGTCTTACTGTCGGTGTGCCTTGTCATGAAGTTCAGAATACGGGTTCACTTAGTTCGGCTCCATTCGGTTACCTTCAGCTTACTGCGACTCTGCTAAATATTGCTACGGTATTGACTTACAGGATATAACCTTATTATTTCCCGTCGGTACTTTCCCTGCTATATTGTTAAGTTATGATGCTGACGTCAGTAGCCTCCGTATCGCCCGTGCTCGTGTAGAAACTATAAATGCCACCCACAGTTCTTCTACAAATGATGCTGGCAGCAACACGTAGCGGAACCATTCACTTGTGTTTCCGAGGAATAAAATGGTAGAGCACAGCGGATATGTCGTTGTAAAAAGCGAAAGCGTTCGATTTTTATTCCTGGGTTTGCCGTAATATGTCTATGGTAATTACAAGCCCAGAGGGTTTTCAACGTAATCGTACATGCTCCGCCCGCGTAAGCTTCCGCGTGAAACAAAACTATGGAACCAAGCATTTCCCGCGCAGTGTTGCATTGTCCAGAGTTTAGTAACGCCGACACAGCAAGTCGTTAAGATGGCAGGCATACTGGACGTCCCGAAACCAAGAATAAACTGCTCCATGCTGTCGCAGCACATAAGCAGACCGGTCTGTTTCGTTGGGCGGGTTGAAAAGGTCAGTGTTGCTTGTATCTAAAATGTTAAAACAGTTGTAAGCTAACTAAACTGAACTGTCAACGCCATTAACATGAAGCCTTTGTTTTCTGCTCTGCCAGGTACACCCTACGGGAAAAACGTTCACCGTGGCGGATGGAGAAGGAAAGATTGCGACAGTTGAACTCAACGACCCTGTGAGTACTCTCACTGAATCTCATAATGAATCAAACTGAAGCTAACTGGTGGTGTGTGTTCAGTTCAGAATACCTAAAAATATATAAGTCTTCTAAATAGGAATAATAGACCTGTTTCATGAGTAGTAGGGTTAATACAGGTGTAAGACTAATTAACCCTATAAAGGTACCAGAGCTGCCGTTTAAGTGATCCAACAACTTATTCTGGTTTGGCTCAAGCTGTATTGGGTAACTTTTATAAAAAATAACTGTGTGTCACACTTGCTGAAGTTTCCACTGTGTTACTGGTACATGAGAGAAATAATCTGTGAAAAAATCAGATTCCTCTGGCTCCTCCTAATGAACAAAAACAACCAATCAGAGGCGAGAGAGTTTATTGTTGAGGCTCATTCTCAGGATGTCAAACACAGATGCTTTGGGACTCTGGGAATGAGCCTCAACAATCAACTATATTCAAGCCTCCAACCCAAAGCATCTTTATGTTTCTTGGCTCTGATTGGTTGTTTTAATTTTGGCCTGGTAAAAGTGACAGCTGCCGGCTTAGTGATTTCCCCCTTATAAAAGACTAGCACGAATGAGTGAGACACACGCAATGACGGTTTCTGGACTGGTTGCATAGCAAACATTTGTCAAATCTGGAAAAACGGTGACAGTTACATTGGCTCAGTTCCATTAAGTGTCCTTGGCAGAATGTCAGTGAACCAGAATGCACAATAGCAAGAGTGGAATGAAGCTATGAATGCACTGCTCTCAACATTTTGGCCTACCACCACATCCGAAGCTCACTAATTAACATCTTGTTTGATCTCTACAGAAACTGAAGAACCGAAAAGACGAGTGTGCAATGTTAAGCTAAGCTAACCAGGTGCCAGCAGTAGCTTCATATTTATTGTACAAGCTTGGAAGTTATATCAATCTTTTCATGTAACTCTTAGCAGTGAATAAGTGTGTGGACCAAAACTGTCCCAAGTTCTGCTCGTATTGGAACGAATGGCTTCTGCCTTATTCAGCTGCTGTGACGTGAAATAATGATGCTAATTAAAGCTGTAGCAGTAGGTAACTCTTTTAAAAATAATTGTTTTATCATTGCTCAACTTTTCACTGTTCTGACAGCGGTACATGAAACAGAATCTGGGGGGGGGGGGTCAGGTTTCTCTGGCTCCTCCTAGTGCTCCTGATGGTATTTGAAAGAATTTACCGGCCTGAACGAAAACAGCCAATCAGAGCTGAGAAAGATAGAAAGACACTTTGGGTTGGAAGCTTGAAGACAGTTGAAGTAGTGTGGATTGTATGCTAAAAGCATACGCCATTTTATGCAGGTTTGGATGAAAGGGGTATGCTGTGTTCCACCAACGTGAATCCAATTATTTGTCTGTGCACCCACAGCTCTGATACTACTTCATATTTATATAGAGACAGAAAAGCTTTGCTCGAAGACAAGTAAAAGAGGACAGTGGACTACCTAGTTATCGCTGAAAATAGAATGTGTCTGTCACTTGATTCCAGCTGTTGGTTTTACTTGACTATGAACTAAGTTAGCATAGCCCTAATCAAACCAAAGTCCATTCAGAAAACAAGCTCAAAGTTGTTTGCTCTTTGTCTTGCAGACAGACCATAATTCAGACTTTACAAATTGCCATCATAATGTAATTATTTCAGCATATTTTTTTCTCAGCTTGAAGAAGAGCTGAGTGGTGTTGTTGAGGTCATCGGCATGGTTTCCAACAAAGGAGCAATAATGGCCACCACATACAACATGCTACGAGAGGACAAGGGCATTGCTTTCGGTAGGTCTTCCTTCAGTATCAGTTGCATCCAGATGAATACAGCAGCATCGTCTGTGGTAGCTTACAGTATGTTCTGTCCATTTGTCTTACAGATTTAGAGCTGTACAATGAAGCCCTGAAAGTCATCCAGGATTTCCCCCAGCACTACCCATTTGAAGTGGCTGCAAGTGGATGAGGCTCATCTCGTTAAGCTGTTCTTTGTTTGCTAAAGATTTCACTGTCCTTTGTTTGTTTCATGTGTCCAGTCCTTGAGTAAAAATAGATTTGTATAAAAGTGAATTTGTAATATCCAGTAAGTTTTGTCAATAAAATTAACTTGTAAAGACCAAATGAGGTGGAAATCTTGCTGTCTTTATTTTTTATTTTTTTTGGCTTAATTTGACACAAGGGGAGGACATACAGCAAATGGCTTCGGGCTGGACTCAAACCCAGGCCTTATTCTGCACAGTGAAGATCACACATCACCCTGTAGCAACAAGAAACATTGATTTTTGATTGGAGGGGACTTTAAAGGAAAATGTTCAGCATAAAATTCTCCACTTTTTGCTCAATAGCTCAATTTTAAGGTCCACTTACTAACTATAGGGGCTTCCCACCACACCTCATGTTCCGTATTATGATAATGTGATGAGAGAGGGAAGTCCTCTAGTTAATGCAAAGAAATGCATTAGAGCAACATTTTAAAAAAAGAATCAATGTTGTCACAGGTCTGGAAAGTGCTTGGATTTAGGCTGTAATACAATATTTATACATTGCTCAGCACTGGGCCAAGCTTGATACATGTTCTTCCACAATATTTGGCATATGACACCCCCAGGTTGAGAACCACGGGATTGTGTTGATAGAATAAAAATATTCAGAAAAGATTATAAAAATTTTAGTCCATATAGTCTTTACTGGTTTGGTGCATTACCTTCTTTGAGGTATGACTATGAAACAGGCCTTCTTTGTGATGTGATGTGTGCCGTTATGGGAGATATCTGTGCATGAACCATAACCCCAGCAGGGGGCAGTATGACCATAGAAGCCAGACCTTGAGCATCCAGATGAGGGGAGAAAAATTTACTTACACACACACACACACACACACAAATTTGTAATCAGTGTGGTCAGTTGGATGGAACCCTGGTTTAGTGTGTTCCCACCCTAATGAGGCGTTCTCTAGTGAAAGAAAATAGCAATACATTATCACAGATTATCTGTCTCATGTAGTTCTGTCAGGATAGGAGAAACACTAGCTTTTGCTTCACTGAGGATCTTTGTCATTGTCTGTAGCAGGGAGGAAACTTCAGTGATCAATCTGTTTTCCAGAGGTTTCACTGCAGTTAACAATCGCATTGAAAACTGAATATTAAATGCTTAGTTTATTAAACTTACATTTACATTTTTATTGAACTTGTAGAGTAATTATTTAAGGAATTAAGCATTATTGCACTGATATTTTTAAAATTTACATTTAAAAAACAATTAAGGATTTGTTATTACAGAAGTAGTTACTGTGGAGTTAAGTGTAGACATCTGTACTTACTCTTCTGCACACATGCACCAAAACATGCAATTTCCTTGAATGAATGAGAAATTCAGGAACTGAGCCAAAGCAAATGAGAAAAATTGTATTACAAGAAGTAAAGTAAATAAGTGTCTGATTTTAGTGTTATATTTCCTTACAAATTGTTACTTTTGAGTTTGAAATGAAATAAAATAGAAATAATAAATATATATATAATAAATACTAATTGAAAAAATGTGTTTCATGCTCAAGTTTATTTTCATTTTAATAAAGCTGCACTGTGTGTAATATCAATGATCATTATATTTTTTAAATCAAGTTTAAGTAGTGAGCAAGAAAAATTTCACCTGTTTTGAGAAAAAAAAATGTTTCACTTGTCTTTTATGGCTTCCGTATAAGTGAGTTCAGTAAGCCAGATTAAGAAATCCAACTACATCTTTAGGGACACTATGTCTGTCATATTCTGCTGCATTTAATATCCATGTTATAATCAAAGAGAGATCATTAATCATGAAAAAAAATTCATTCAATTGTTTCATTGGCCTTTCAGGACTTACGTACATTCATAAGCTTGATGTCTTTGTCTGTCACCACCCTAATGTAACATCTACCATCTCATTGATATGTGTACCATTAGATAGTATGATTTATTGATATCTGAGTACATGTGTGGGACACCTCAGTGGGAATCAAACCCTCAACTCAATGAGGATCACAGCAGCATGGTTTTGGTTATAGCGCACTCTGTTAGTTCAGTTCAATTCAGTTAAATTTTATTTGTATAGCGCCAATTCATAACAGAAGTTATCTCAGGACACTTTTCAAATAGAGCAGGTCTAGACCAAACTTTACATTGTTTACAGAGACCCAACAGTTCCCACCATGAGCAAGACCTTGGCGAGGGCGGCAAGGAAAAAATTTAAGAGGCAGAAACCTAGGACAGACCCCGGCTCTAAGTGGGTGGCCAGTTGGGGTGAGAGAGAGAGCGAGAGAATGGAGAATCGGCTAAAGACAGAAGGACAGGGACAGAGACAAAGGTGCACAGCAACAACAGTAGCAACAACTATATTAATAGTAGTTACTGATTGTGATGATGATGATGAACATGAAGACGACGACAACAACAACGATGGTG